TGGGTGCCTGGCTTCTTGCTGCCTAGAGGGACGGGTTCCCTTCTGGTCTGCAGCGCATTTCCCTTCCAGAGCTTTTAGCTACGTGGAGAGAGGACCAGGACTCGGACCCCGAGCCAGGCCAGTGTGGAAGAGAAAGGTGTTGGGAGCAGAGTGTGGGTGCTGTCCCTCAGGAGCAGCTCTGGCCTTGTGCGACTGTGAGAGTGTGTGTGTGTGTGTGTGTGTGTGTGTGTGTGTGAACAAGCTGTACACGTTGGACATTTCCGGGGCACAGCTGTGGCCCGTGGTGGAGCATCGACCTGTGTGTCCCCCTTTCTGTCCCGCCACATCCTCCTATCCTGGTTTTTCAGCGTCTTCACTTCGGCTGTGACAGCTGCTCCTGCTGGGTTCTCCGTGGCATCACTGACACTGTGCATGGTGACAGGGCCCTGGTCCTTCAGGGGTGAGACTGCTGCTCCTCGCAGGGCTGGCTGTGCTGCACCAGGACGTCCTCACGTTGTGTGGTGATTGTTTGGAGTGCCTCTTTTTTCCCCTGGCTCAGGGGATTGAACCCAGGGCCCGCACCCTGAGCTACATCCCCAGCCATTTTTTATTTGAGACGGGATTACGCTAAATCACTAAATTGCTCAGGCTGGGCTCTAACCTGAGATCCTCCTGCCTCACCCTCCCAGCGTGCTGGGACTGGATGTGCACCACAGGTGGCTCTTGCAGGGCCTCTTCATTGTTCGGTGAGCACTTTGAGGGTGTGGGCTCCGCCCGCTCCACCTCTGTGCTCTAGCCCTTCCCCTTTCTTGCTGAAGGGAGCTGGCAGGACTCAGTGGACTGCGGTAGCAGGCGGGGTAGAAAGACGGGTGCTGCCTGAGTAGCCTTCAAGACTAAATGACAAACCAGAGACAGCTTCGTGGTGGAAAGAGTTAACTAACTGTGCATGTACTTGGGGATTGTTTATCACAACTGTTGAAAGCAGAGTATCCTCCAGGCAGCTGCTTTGTGCTTGGAATTTGAAACATCTAAATTCACCTTCAGGCTTGATTGGATAAGATTTCCAAATTTTTTGCTGAAGGGCAGAATGGCTAGCTTTCCCGTTTGCTCTGTGGTCTGGCTTTGGAAAGGCTCCTGCAAAGTCGTGCTGTGCTTTGGTGGTCGTGAGTCTTGAGATCCTCTCGGCCTGGCCTCCTGTCCGGCCCCTGCATCTCCATGGAATGTGGGGTCCCAGACCCACAGACTTGGCTCGGGCCGGTGCGGCGGTGTCCACTGGCGGCGTCTAGGACCTGCGTGTTTTGGACCGTGGCTGTACTGGGGGAGGAGTGTAGCTGGCAGGAAGCCTTGAAAACCAGAACGGTGGTCCTCCTGGAGTTCACAGACCAGCAGGACAGACAGACAGGGACAGACAACTGGACACAGACACAGAGCAAGTCTCCGTCCCCGCCTCCCAGAGGAGCGTTTATGGTCTTTGAGCTATTCTAGAAGGCGGAGGCCACTTGAGCACTAAGCACAGGGCTGGGAGCAGGGAGACTGCTGTGGGGCGGGAACTGATGAAAAGAGGGGTTTTCAGTTTCTTGTTTGGCGATTTGAGGCGTCCCTGTGGAGAGGATAATAAGTGAGCTTCAGGATGTCACACAGGTCGAGCATCTACACAGCTCGGGAATCCGAGACTTCTCGAGTCTGACATGGTGCCACCACGGGAGGGAGGTCTGTCAGGCCTCGAGACAGGCTGCAGCGCTCCCGGAACACTCACCTGGCCCTGGGCTGCGTGTGGGAGCCTGTGGGAAGCACCGGTGTTCATTGTGGGCCCGCTCCCTGCTGTTTCCTTCATGTAGGTGCAAAGATTCCAGAATGTAAAGAAATCCCAAGTACTTCCGGATCATTCTGGATAAGGGGTATTCAGCCTGCATTCCTGATTCTGAAACTAGAATTCCTTGAAGTTCAGAGTATGCCAGATGGGTACCGATGGGTAGGGGCTGTGCCTGTGCCGTCGTGCTGTGCCGTTGGGTGGCTGTTGGCACCGTGGGGACAGATTGCCGGTCACACTGATGCTGTTGGTGTGGGGACCTTGCTCTGAGTGGAGACTCTCGTGACTTCTGTGGTGGTGAAACCTGTACTCCAGGCCTAGCTCACGGGTCCCTGGGGTCAGGGTCCTCGTCCCAGGAATCTCGGGCTCTTGCTGCCGTTTGAGAGGCCAGGCTCTCCCACTCCGGTGCCCCTCTGTTGGGGTGCAATGTCTTTGGCTGTGTCTGGAGCCAGCTCCTCCCTCCCTGGTCGTGGTAAGCACCCTGCCCTCCTGACTCCCTGTCGTAGGGCTTTACACAGCACACTCCTTTGCGGCCTGCAGTCTCTGTGCCTCGAGGAGTGCGGCCTCTCAGCACTGTGCTCCCTCTGTGTGGACTGCGGTGCGAAGTCACCGGGGCAGTGGGGCCAGGGGCCTCGGGCTGAGCTTCTTCAGGGCCAGTGATTTGATGAGATGCCAGGCTGAGAGTGTCACGCCTCTGCCTCCTGGAATGCCGCTTGCCTCAGAAGCGGCGGCATCCTGGGATGCTGCTAAACTAGTAACTGGGGTACTCTGGCTGCAATGGACTTTGTAGTAATATACCGCCCCCCTTGCAGTGGATGCTCTGTGTGTCCACTTCCCGCTGGCCGTGGGTGACCGGAGAAGGAGTTCACAGTGTGAAGGCCCCCTGGACGTGATGTGTGGTGGTGTTTTGAATAACTCCCGTTTGTCTGAAGTGTGTCCCGAGGGAGTCGCACCCGGGGCCGTGGCAGGCGAATGTGTCACATCGTGGGGAGACAGAGCTCCTGGAGACCCCGAGATTCTGAATGATGGCTTCAGGGCCGGGGTAGACACGACCTCTATGAGGCACGATCCTCCAGGAACTGTGGTAGAGGCCAACCCATCCCCTAGGAGCTGCGCGTCTGAGGAAGGCCACTTGAAGCTGGGGTGTCCTTGGAGCCCACAGACAGGCCGGCCGAGCACCCTGTCTGCAGTAGGGGGCCAGCGCGGTTGCCATCTTGTTCCTGAAAATCCCTCAGTGACCTGAGCCACATCTGCAGTGCGGGTCTGAGAGGCCGAAGGGTGCCTGTGTTGATGTTGGTATTTTTTTCTTCCTCTGGGTTCTGTGGTGCTGGGGTGGAGCCCAGGCCTGGGACGCAGTGTGGTGTAAGGTCAGCGCTCAGCTGCCGCCTGCCCTGCTGTCACTGCTTCTCTGTTAAACCCCTTTCTGTGCTGTTTCTGCCTGGCCAGCCCGGGAAGTTGGCATCCTTCTCCCTGAAGATCTGGGTCCCTGCCTGAGGGTGCCTGCTGCCTCCCTGTCTGTGAGTGAGGTCTGGGGAGGAGCCCTCGCTGTCTACAGATTGTTCACTTTATAGGACAGTTTTTTGTCTCAGGTAAACCTGGGACGCTGGAGTTTCATAAATCGAAACTGGAGGTATTCTTAGACTCCTGGCTCCTTTTCTATTTCTATAGAACCTTAGATTATTTTTTAAATGAAATGAATAAACTTGAACCGGAGACCCCGAGTACATTCTTTATAATGCCCTAGCTGCTCTTTGCACATCCTTTTGGAAAGGTGGTTCAAATTTTAATCTGAAATAGTTCTTTGAAAGTGAAACATTCTTTTATTGGTGATATAACATTGGTGACAGTGAATAGGTATTCTATAAAAACAGAAGTTTAAAATAAATCTGTGACCCATTCTTTGAAACTGGAAATTGTCTTGTCCTCAGAAGGACAAGTCTAGGTTTGGCCTGACTGGCCTGGGTTACTGGGCAGCGTGTGGTGTTCTTTTATCCTTCCCACTGTAAGCGGTAGAAACAAGTAGTGATCATTGTATTAAATGCACTTTGAAGTTGCAAGTTACTGTACAAATATTTCAACGTGGAAAGCTGGGCATGGTGGTACATGCCTGTAATCCCAGCACTTGGAAGGCTGAGGCAGGAGGATTGTTGCAAATTTGAGACCAGCTTGGGCTACAAAGTGAGCTCAAGGCCAGCTTGAAGTGCATAGCGAGACCCTGCCTCAAAAAAAAAATTTTCGACATGGACATTTTTTAAAATCGCAGAGTGACATCTTTTCCAGCTCTCCTAGTACCGCACACTTGGTATTCTTTTCACCTACAACTTACTGTTGTTAACTTTACCCCAGCACTTTCTCGCATTCCCATTACACCCACAGCTGCTGGGAGCTGCAGCCTGGTCCTTCTATAAATGTATTTTAACTTCACTCTTCCAACTTCCTGGGCATTTAGCTTTTATATTGTTCACAGACCTCACTCTTGCAAAAATTTGTATGCATTTAGTTTTTCTTTACTTCTGTCATTTTTTTGGGATAAATTCCCATCAGTAAGGTCATGAAATATACAGTTTTGTGGCTTTTTAAATTAAAAAGTTTTTGGTGGTGCTGGCCCCTGCCACTGGCTCTACCCACAGTGTAGAGGCATGTCCAGGGTACAGCACGCTGAGAGCTCGGCCTGGAGGAAAGCAGGCTCTGGGTGGGGTCGGCTTTGCCGTTCAGTAGCTGTGGGGCAGGGGAGTTACTGCCCTCGCAGTGCTTTGGGGTCTGGTCTGTGCAGTGCGGTGCCGTCGTGTTTTTTCCTGTCCGCCCAGTGCTTGTCAAGCAGCAGCTGGCAGGGACGAACCCTGGGCCCCGGCGCTTAGCGAGCAGTCAGGAAACCAGGTGCAGCGAGTGTGCTGTGCGGGGTGGCAGGTGTGTGTGCCTGGTGCTGGGAGCTGGGGGGCAGGGCGGACTAACGAGAGGGTGACAGCGGCATAAGACAGGAAGAAGAGGAAGGGGGCCACCTGTGTGCGTCATTGTCATCGTCACTGCCGCGGGGCGGGGCGGGCACCGCAGAGCTCGGGAGCGTGGGAACCGCCCGCCCGCGGTTTATGGAGCAGCAGAGCAGGGCAGTGGGGCCGTGCAGGTGTGGGCGTGGCGGGCACAGGTGTGGGCGTGGAGGTCACATGGGCTGTGGCTGTTGTCACCTGGTGAGCACTTACTAATGGTGTGAGGGAGCTCAGGTGACTCACACTGGGAGAGCAGAGGAGAGGACAGGAGGCCCTGGTTTCCTGCGGCAGTTGGGGCTCAGACCAGAGCCTTCCCTGGGGCTCTGCGCCCTGCTGGCTGGCTTCCGGGACCCCGGGGCCTTCGCTGAAATCCCCAGGAGCTGTCTTTCCTGTGGAGGTGCAGAGACCTGGAGCAGCCACATCGCCTGCCCTCCTGCTTTGTGACTAAACTTTGAAGTACGAAGCTGCTGGTTTTTCTGAAAGCAGAAGACTCTCGGTGGCAGTAGTTGAGGGGAGCGTTTTCAGATACCACCCCATCCTGTCCTGTCCCATCCCATCCTGCCCTGTCCTGTGCGGGGGACATGGGTGGGCAGAGGAGACCTGGAGAGCAGAATTGTTCCTGACCTGCCTGCCGTTCAGTGGCCAAGTAGATCGTGGTGCTGGGGCTCTTCATTTATAACAGAAAATAATGCCTGGCCTGTTCACCTGAGAGCCGGGACGTTCCAGCCGGCACCGCGGGACAGCACGGAAGGTGGGTGGCCTGTGCACGCGCAGGGTGTCCAGGATTTGTGTAACGTAGCAGACCCCTCTAGGTCTCCGGGTGCCTGTTCTTAAGGAAGTTGTGTGGCGGGAGGTGGAGCTGCGCATGGAAGGCTGGAGTGAAGTGTTCTCCCCAGGGTGGTTAATCTTTAGTTTTCCAGCCATGTGGCCAGGGCTTCGGTTTCAGTAGAACAGTTTTTTGAAGTGCTGCCCTGCTGGCTCAGAGGAGGCCTTGCAACCATGTATCTGTACGTGTTACAGTTTATCAGAATGTGAAAGGCCTGAGATAAACGGCGCCAAAGCCAGGCTGGCAATGTGAAATTTCAGTGTTCCCTGTCATGTTTTATTTATTGGCTTAGCAGTGTTGGCTCTTCTGGGTCGCCTCCCACGGTGTTCCAGTGACCCGGGAGATCCTGTGCCCAGTGCAGACCCAGCTGCCTGGGGAAGCGGGTTTTAGTGAAGGTCCCCTTTCTGTCCCCTTCGTCCGCCACGTCCTGTGGCCCTGCCTGGTGCCCAGAGAGTTTCTGTCATCGTCCCCACCCTGGTGCCACCGTCCCCAGAGAAGAGCCTCATACTTCCTTTTCAGGTGAGGCTGGGCTGGCAGGGAGGGTTGGGTTGGTGACCTGCGGCCTCTGGCATGTGTCCTGGTGTGTGCAGGACTGAAGTGTGAAACCTGCTCTTTCTGTTTTTTTCCTGGAGTTGCAAACCCCCAATTGTCCCCAGAGTGCAGTGCAGTCCTGTTGTTTGGAAGGCTGTCCTGCTTCCTTGCCCATATCCCGTATGTCCCACAGCCTTGAGTGTCTTCCATGAGAATCGTTCACAGAGTACCAGTGGCACAGTGGCTGTCTCTTCCAGAGTGTCCTTGTTGCTTCTCCTGGCACCTACTGACTGTTGTGTGGACACTCATGAAATCGAGTGAAATGGGTCCCCAGTTTTCATCAGCACCAAAACTTGGCTGCTGTTTCACTTAGTTTCTTCAGCACTGGGAATTTTTAGAGTATTTTTGTAATTTATAGGTATAAAGCTGCAAATTATTATTACTATTAATTAGTAGTGGTGCTGGGGGTTGAACCTAGGGCCTTGTGCTTACTAGGCAAATGCACTGCAGCTATGTGCATAGTCTGGAAAATGTGAATTTTTTAGTAGCAGTGTTTTTTTGAGATGGTATCTGTTTGCAGGAGATTTTTAAATGAGTTTTAATTATCTACTACCCTGAATATGTATATGAAAGGTCAGGTAAGTTTTAGCATAATGGGTAATCATTTCTACGTATTGCTGGAATCCTTTACTTTAGAGTAGGTATGTAACTTTGATGAAAACATTTAGGTTTAAATTTTTTTGATAGGTGACATATACAGAAGACAAAGATTCAATTTCCCCAAGCCAGTGACGGTGATGTTTTAGAGCTTTCAGTGATGCAGACAGCCTGCTGCGGCACATGAGCCGTTGGTTCCCACACTGCTCGGCTTCCTCTGCCACCCCCTTTGAGAAGTGCACACCCCCGACGCGCCCTTCCAGGAGGCCTGGGAGTGTGTGTGTGTGAGGGTCTCCAGTTGGCTGGAAAGTACAGATTAAAAGATGAGTTTGTAGTGTGGGTTTGGCAAGTCCTGAAACGATTTGAGGTATTTGGTAAGCAAATAGTTTGAGCAAAGCTGGCAGAAGGATTGGGTATCTCTGGTGTGCGGTGCTGTGGTTCTGGAGGACCCCAGGGAGGGCGGGGGCCCTTGGGGCCACAGGGCCAGGCCACTACCCTACCCTGGCCAGGCTGGCCCACTGCTGTGTGACCGGAGTCGTGCCGGCTGTGCTGTGACCGCCATGTGTCTCTTTGCAGATGTTCCTGACCGTGTACCTCAGCAATAACGAGCAGCACTTCACGGAGGTGCCCGTCACCCCTGAGACCACGTGCCGAGACCTGGTGGAGCTGTGCAAGGAGCCCGGCGAGAGCGAGTGCCACCTGGCCGAAGTGTGGCGCGGCTCCGGTACGAGACAGGCGTGTGGTTCTGCTGCCTCCTGTCCCTGGGGTCCGCGGAGTGTAGTGTGTGCTCACTCCGTGACACAGGTCCTGTTCTCTGTCTAGCTGTGCTGTGACACAGAATGCAGACACTGCGGTGTCAAGCGTGAAAGGTCCAGGACCGGAGGCTGAGGCCACACGCCGCACACGGAGTCTGGGGCTATGGGCGCGTGCAGTGCTGGAAGGTGGTTTTGCGTGTTCAGGCTTTGCTTGAGGAGAAGTCGGAGGCCTCTTGATTGCTGGCCTCTTCTCCAGTTTCTGTGGTTTGCGTACCTGTGGGGCGGCCAGCAGCGGGGCTGTCACTGGGCACAGGCTGTGAAGTCACCCCCACCCTTCGCTCTGCGGCTCTAAGATGTGACTGCTCTCTCTGCCCCGCAGGAGTTCGTAGACGGCGTGACTCTGGTTGCTTCTGCTTTGTTCCCACCAGTCAGGCACCCCATGGGGTCCTCTTCCTCCTCTGGGGCCAGCTGTGCTCAGTGGGACACATCAGGCTTGTGACCTGCGACTTCAGGCCCTCACGTGTTCCCAGGGAGCCCTTCCTCCTTGTTGGCGGCTTCCCGCGGTGGGGCGTCACCTCCTTCCCTTCCCTCATGCAGGAGCCAGGGAGACCATTTGCATAAAGAAGCCAGTGGCCTCCAGCTTGAACGCTGGGTGACACCTTCCTGCCCCGACTCTTCAGTTAGCGCGAGGCCCAGGCTTTGGTGGATGACTGAGCCCCGCGGTGCTCGCCGCTGCCTGTGCTGTTGCCCCTGCCCCTGCCACTCTGTTCTCACCAGGGGGCAGTGTCCTCGCTGGCCCCACTGCTGCCCCTCTGCTCACGTGGATTCCAGCCAGAGTAGCTCTGAAGTTGCTTCTCCTTCGTGTCCTGCTTGCGTCCCCTGTGGAACGCACACCACGCTTGCTGCAGGTTTTGTGGGTTTTTGCTGGTTTTTTGCCCTGTTCTTCCCCTTGGCCACAGACGCTCCAGGTAGGAGGGACCCCAGGGCAGAGCCTTTGCTTCTGCTCTGGGCTGGGGCTGCTCTGGTGCTGCTCCATGTCTGGTGATTATTTTGTGAGTGAGTTAGTGAATGCCTGGATGCTTCTGTGATGTCCTGTTTCAACACGTCACCTTGCTGTCCCCTCCGCTGAGGTCCTCATAGCCCACGGTGGGTTTCTGTCCCCTCCCTTGGGCCGATGGCGGGACCAGGAGCCTCCTGCTCTGCCCTGCTGTCCAGGGAGGGAGTGTCCCACCCTGCCGGAAGTGTGCAGGTCCCACCTGCCTGGGCCTCGTACGTTGGCTGCACTCAGCTCAGCAACCCTCTTGGATCATGGTGACGGGGAAGCTCTGCTTCTCAGAACCTTTGATGACAATGCCTGAAAGTGTACACAAAGGAAATAGTGAGGACAGAGGAGCCGTCTCGCCCGTCCCCCGCTACCCCCTGGGGTCAGCGCTTGTGGTTTTAGCACCTGGCTCTTCCCTGCATTCATAACTCACTGCAGAAATACCTGTGTGTGGGGGGTTCTGGTTTTGTTTATGTGAGTGTCATACGTGTCAGTGTCATGCAGTTCACTGTTTTATCTGACAGCTTGGAGATCTTCTCAGACTCCTATGTGTAAATCTACATCATCATTTTTAATTGTCATATAACTTTGCATCTGCAGTTGAAATAGTCTTTTATTCATGAAAATTGAAGTTAATTCTGCTCTTGTTTCAATAAATGCTGGGACTCTTTTAGTCCCACATGACACTTTCCACCGCAGGACTCCTTGGTTAATGTTCACACACTTAGGAATGTGATGTGTGTTGCCAGATACATTGCCAGCTCATCCTTTTTCCATATATTCCTCTTTTTTTTTTATCTTTTTGAGACAGGGTCTCACTCTGCAGTTCAGGCTCTCCTTGAGCTCACTTTGTAGCCCAGGCTGGTGTTGAACTCGCAATGATCCTCCTGCCTCAGCCTCCCGAGTGCTGGGATTGCAGGAGTGTGCCACCACGCCCCGCTCTTTCCGTTCATTCCTAGCAGAATCTCCCATCAACAGTTGCTGCAGTAATATTTTGATTTCTGCTAAACTGATAGCTGGAAATGGTCTTTGGTTTAAACTTGCATTTTTTTTGATTCCTTGTGAGCTTGCCCATCTTTTCATTTGCTTATTGGCCATGAAAGCTTACTGTTTTTTATTTTTTAATTTTTGGGATTTCACTATGTAGTTAATGCTGGCTTTGAACCCACTATGTAGCTCAGGCTGGCCTTGAACCCATGGCAACCTTCCTGCCTCCTCCTCCTGAGTGCTGGGATTACACGCACACACCCCAACACCTGGTTTCCTTTTACTTTTCACTTCTTTTCTTGCTCTACAGATTGGTGGGTTTCTGTTCGGCAGATCTGAGCAGCGTGGAACATACCCGGGCCCCTGCCTCAGCCCCCATTGAGTTCCAGCTTCTCAGTTTGTTTCTTCGTAACCTTCACCCCGGTTTCCTTTGGTTGTCGCCCTTCTTAGGTTTTAGGCATTTGGAAAACTGCTTTGGATCTCAGGCCTGTGTGTCGGCTGTGGAAATCTTCCCTTACACCAAGCTGTCAGTGCCTGCTTCTGTTTCCTTCGCAAATGTTAAAGCTTTTCTTTCTCTTCTCCTTCCCCCTGCCCGCCCCTGCTGTCACTTGCAGATTTGCTTAGGGGACATTCCTTGGATGCCTGCATGGTGGTGATTCCGAGGGGTGCAGATGGAAGCGCCCTGCCTGCAGGTGCTGGGCCGGGGCTGAGGCTGCGTCTGTCCCAATGGTAGCCAGGGGCGCAGGCTGTGTTTGCGTAGTGGGCATGCAGAGGGTTTCAGCGTTCCCCTGAATCACGTCGCCTCAGATACAGGACTCTTCCTCTCCGGATGCCTCGGGGCTGTGCAGCTCGTAGAGGGGGCTGGTTCTCTGCACTGGGACCGAAGGCCACTCCCTGTGTGTTCCAGCAGGCAGGTCAGATTCCGTGGGCAGAACTCCGCAGTGCCTGTCCCTGGTGTTTATGTAGGGTGCTAAGGTGGTGTCTCTAATCACTGGCAAGTGTGTAGTTTTCTTGGGATATGTCAGCAGGCACATTTAAGAATCACACTGCCATCCTGGGGAGTTTGATTGCCTTCTCAAACAGTGGGTTGGGTTTTCCCATCCAGCTTCCTTTCCAGAGATTGGGAGATGTTTTGATGATTCAAGTTAACACAGCTCTCGCTTTGCCGTTGGCTGTCACGCTGGAGAGATACTCCCCCGGCAGTCTGGAGCTTTTTGTTTGGAAGTGGATAAGCCTGGTTTTTTAGCATTGTTTACCAGATTATGAATTAGGAATAGCCTGTATTAAAAGCTGTACTGAAAGTCACACCAGGCTATTTACAAAGTTGCTGGTTATACTTTCTTTGAAGAGTTGTGGAGCCAGGAGGGGCCCACTGCATTATGGACTGAGCAGGAACCTTTGGAGCCCACACAAGTTAAAGGGCAAATGCCGGGCGTGGTGGCGCACGCCTGTAATCCCAGCACTCGGCAGGCTGAGGCAGAGGATTGTTGCAAGTTCGAGACCAGCCTGGGCTACAAAGTGAGCTCAAGGCCAGCCTGAACTGCAGAGTGAGACCCTGTCTCAAAAAAAAAGAAAGGGGGCAAGGAAGGTGCATGCTGCCTCAGAGGCCCGGATGCTGCCTCCCTCAGGGCATTGCCCTGGCTCAGCGCTGGTGGTCTGCGTGGAAATGGGTTCCACTTCATTTTCTTTCACTGCAAGAAAAGAACTGTCAAGATGCAAAGTATTCCCTCTACCCCTAATGTGTGATCCACTCAGGACTGGGTAATAAATGTGTTCATCACTCTTTTTTCCTGCAGATAATGTGACTTCTCTTTTCTCACAGAACGTCCAGTTGCTGAAAATGAGCGAATGTTTGAAGTTCTCCAGCGATTTGGAAGTCAGCGGAATGAAGTTCGTTTCTTCCTCCGTCACGAGCGCCCTCCCAGCAGAGATGTAGGTGGGTCCTGGACTGTAGATGTATGTGGATAGTAGTCCGTGGATGTAGGCAGGTTGTCGACTGTGGGTGTGGGTGGGTCATAGACTGTGGACGTGGGCGAGTCGTGGACTGTGGGCATACGTGGGTTGTAGTCTGTGGTTTAGGACAGATGTCTGAGCCTTTCCTTTTTGCCTGACGATTGTGGGGAGAGGAGGGCAGGCATGGAGAGGGCCACTAATCTGAGAGGCAAAGAGAGGCAGAGAACAGGCAGCGCAGGCCTCTCCTCAGCCTGGCTGTCACGCAGAGAGCTGCAAGGGTGGGCAGCAGGGTTTTGCGGGATGGGACGGACTGGAGATTGAAGCTGTAAGAACAGCAGGACCAGGCTCCTGGGCGCTCCCCAGCCCCGCGAGAGTCCCCTGGACCACAGAGGCCCAGATGCTGCCCAGGACAGGAGCACAGTGGCTGCAGCTCACTGTGTGCGCTCTGTGGGTGCGAGTTGAGGGGCTTCTCGTCCGCACGTGGGTGTCTTCCAAGGTGGGGTGGAAAGTTGGCCAGACCGACAGTGATGTAAGTGGGGTGTAGGGTGAGCTGTCCAAGGGGAGAGGGCACTTTCGGGGAAGCCTCGAGGTCAGCTGGGAGGAGAGACCCCGGGGCCATGGGGGGTCAGATCACCCTGAGGCCGGGCGCAGTGCTCTTAGCCCAGGCAGCTGTGGGAGGAGGCAGCAGTGACCGGTGCTGGGTATTGCCAGAGGCCTCAGCGGAAGTCAGCGGGGCAGGGAGGGGACGGTGTTGACAGGGTGGCGGCTCAGCTGGGCGGGAAGAGGGGTCTCTGGAGGGGCTGTGGGCACAGAGGAGATGACAGGTGCAGTGAGAGGATGAGCGAGGCGGGAGATTGAGAGGACTCTTCAGAAACAGTGTTGGAATTTATAAGGTCAGAGGTGTGTGTGAGCTGGGCTGGACTGGTGGGCAGCCGGCCACAGGACGGAGCGCTGGTGCTGGTGCAGCATCGCCCCCAGGGAGGAGGCCTTGGCGGTGCAGAGCGTGGTGGAGCTGGGGCCGCGTCCTAGTGAGCAGTGGGGATGGCAGGAGGAGGTAGGCGGTGACGCAGGGGGTGAGGCCGCAAGAGGCTCGGCTCTGGGTCCGGAGTCAGTGGGGACCTCTGCCCAGGGAGAAGCAGATTTGCCAGGTATCTGTGGAAACCTTGGAATTTTAGAAATGGAAAGCTGAGGGCAGTTGTCGCGGGAGTCAGAGCATCAGTGGCAGATGTGATGGAGGTGACATCTTACTCTGCTTCCCGCCTGTTTGATTCCTTTGTCCCCACTGACGTTAGACATGGCAGCTCTACCATGCCCTGCTCCACAGGCGAGGAGAGCGAGGGGCCCTCCCCAGCCAGGGCACCCCGAGTGCCCACGACCTGCCTGTGTCTGTAATTCCATCTTAGTGTTCGTGTTTTCCTCCCCGCCTTCTCTCTCCACGTGGAAGGTGGTGTTTGCACCTGAGTCTGTTACGACGCGGTCCTTCCTCGCTCACAGCTGAGCTTTCCCTGTCCATGGCCCGGTTCAAGCATCCGCTGCAAAGTGGCGAATTATTAACGAGGCTCCCGCTGCGCACTGTTCAGGCTCGGTGCCTGAAACCTGAGACGTGTAATGTGACGACACGGAGGCGTTGCCACCCTGCCACAAAACGCCAGCGCCACGGTGTTTAGACAGACAGGTGGGCAGAGCGGGGCTGCTGTCCCTGCCCCGGGGAGCCCGGCCTCAGGACCGCGAGTCAGGAGGTGGCGCCCTGGCCTTTGTCCCGTGTAACTGGGACTCTGGCACACGTGTGTATAAAGTTATTTTTAAGGCTCTTGCTTTTTATTGTAGTTGTGTAACTGTTGTATGAGGGAGAGATTAGCTAAGTGTTCTCTCTTCGAGGCAGCAAACAAGTATTTTCTTTTTTCTTATAGAAATGTTATGACAGATTTCCTGAGCTCTTTTGTGAGAGAATTCAGCAAGATTTACTTTTTTTAGTTCTTGAGGTGAGGTCTCAGTATGTTACCCTAGCCAGGATTGAACTCAAAATCCTCCTGCTTCAGCTTCCTGAATTGCTAGGATTATGCATACATACCATTGTGCCCAGTTTGAGCAGTACTGTTCTGTTTTTTTCTTTTTACTGGGGATTGAACTCATGGTGTTCTACCACAGAGGTGTATTCACAGACGTTTTGATTTTGAGATAGGGTCTTCCTAAATTGCCCAGGCTGGCTTTGAACTTGTGATTCTCCTGGCTGGGTCTCCTCAGTATCTTGACTGCCATGTCCATGTAGTATTTTTAAAATACGGTCCTGGAGGCTGGGTGTGCTGGGGCACTCCAGTAATCCCAGCACTTGGGAGGCTGAGGCAGGAGTATAGCATGAGTTCAAAGCCAACCTGAACTACACAGTGAGACCTTGTCTCAAAAGAACAAAACAAAGCACAACAAAACAAATGAAACAAAAAATATGGGCTATGGCTGCAGCTGCTCGGTGGAGCCCGTACCTCGCATGTGTGAAGCCCTGGCTTTAATCCCCAGTATTGCAAAAAATAAAAATACAGTTACACCGTGAGAGTTGTGTATAATTGTTACGTCTGGCTCTGAAGAGAGACACGCTTATTTATTGATTTATTGATGTGGGGATTTGTAGTGCTTCCTGGCAGGTACAATAGACATTTAAGAGATAATTTAATAATTCTTCTGATCTCTGGGATTACAAGTATAAAGTTTATTTTAGAAGTACTTTGTTTTGTTTTTTTAGAAGTTCTTTGTTGATATTATTTTTATAATATATTAATTTAATACTTTCCCTTTTCTGATGTGTTAGATGGGACTGAGAAACTCATGTATTTTGGCGTGGAGAATTATTTTTAGCTGAAAAATCAGAACACTCAGTGCTTTTCAGGTAGTGTTTTCCAGAGAAGAACACTTACGTGAGGAAGTTCTTCAGAGTGTGCCTGTGACTGACCACAGGGTGCCGCAGTAACCAAAACCCCGCTTTTTCTGCTGGTCGCCTCCTTCCTGTCTGAGTTTCAACAGTCATAAATGAGTATAGGGAAGGGCTGACTTGATTTCAGTTATTTCTGTTCCTGAAGCTCTTTCGTTTCACTTCCGAGTAGCTCAGAACTCGGATGTTGTAGCAAACGGTGTGAAACCCCGTACCCGGAGTGCGTATTTTGGGGTTTCTACTGTTGCTAGGCAGCTCGGCGCTTTTCCAGTGGATGGCCGGTGTGCGGTGTCCTGGGGCCGACTGCTCCCTACCCTGCACCCTAACTTGTCGCTGTAGGAGCAGGTCGGGCACCTGTTCACCCCGAGCCCAGTGTGGTCAGGACAAAACCCTGACGGGAGTGGCTCAGGCTCCCGGCTCTTGGGTTAATGTCCCTTTCTCAATTTTGTGCTTAGCGAGTGGCCCACGGCCTCAGGAGCCGAATCTGAGAAGAAATGGTGTGAAAGTGCCCGGAGAACACCGGAGAAAGGAGAATGGAGTGAGTGTCCCTTTCCATCCCCACCTGCTGTGCGGAAACCGAGGCTGCCTGGAAGCTACTTTGTGTCCAGTGGGTTGAGCATGGCCCCCCAAGGTTACCATAAACACTGTCACTGCTTGTGAGATCCACGTGGGTGACGACTGTGAGGATTTAGATGCTGAATGCATCGCAAATCAAGAACACAATGTGTTGAACAAGTCTACGTGTTTTTTAGTAATTTTATTTGCTAATATACTCGCTTACAGGAAGGAAAGCAGCTAAGTGATATGAATTTGAGACAGCGTCTCGCTGTTGCCCGGGCTGGCCTTGGCCCCTGAGGCTGCTGTGGCCGTGCAGGCCTGGTCACCGTGCAGTGCAGCAGGCTGGAGCTCGGTGTGTGTCTCTGGCTACAGGTGAACAGTCCCCGCATGGACCTGACGCTCGCTGAGCTCCAGGAGATGGCGTCTCGCCAGCAGCAGCAGATCGAGGCCCAGCAGCAAATGCTGGCCACCAAGGTAGTGTCTGTTCCCCAGGTGTGTGGCCCCATGGCCAGCACGTGTGTGAAGCCGTCTGCCATCGCCCGTGCCTGACCCAGCTCCTTGCAGAGGAGGCAGTCCCCAGCCCTGAGCTCATCCGGCCTTGGTGCTTGCCTCCTCTTGCCGTGGCGTGGTACAGAAGGCTTGTATCATCCCACACATTCAAGGTCTTCCTGACCCCAGATTTTTTGAGGGGTAGTGGTGCAGGCCTTGCTGTGTTGCCCAGGCTGACCTCAGACTCCTGCCTCGGTGACCCTCCCGCCTCAGCCCCCGAGTAACTGGGAGCACCACAGTGCCCAGCTTGATCCCGACTGTGATCCCGGTTGACTGTGCAGCTGGGGGTGGGTGGAACAAGTTTTAAGAGCCTTTCTCTGCCTCCGGGACCCCTCTGGACCACAGATGGAGTGACTCTTAACATTTACTGACCCAATACTGTCCCTCTGCTGCTCGGGACCAGCGGTAGAGTACTGCCTTTTGGGGACACTTTTTACCCACAAACTGACCCCACACCTGGCCTTGAGCAAGAAAAGCCCTTACCAGAACCCTTCCTGTTACTATCAACGTCCCAGCTCGTGGCTCCTCCTGGAACCCGGCAGAGTCTGAGCTCAGCCAGCACTGCCAGCCCGTGCTCCTCCGAGAGCCGCACCACCTCGGTGGCAGCTGCTGGGCTCTGCTTTGTGGGCAGCCGTGCGGGACGTGCCCTGTGCCAGGACACTCCCACAGGAGCAGCCAGGCCTGGCCTGGGCCGCACTTGCCTGCACCGGTGTTGCAGGGACCGTTGTCCCTTGCCACTGGAGTGGACACTGGATGGTTTCCCATGGTGGTGCGTCCTTGCGGCCATGTGGCGTGCGCATGTGGTGCTGTCCAGCGGGACTTCCCAGGGCGCCCACACCATTCCTGCCTTCCGACTGAGAGGGGGCAGTGTTGGGGCAGCAGCAGGGACGCGTTCCCGCGGGAAGGGGTCGCCCGATGGGTCTCTGCTGCAGGGTCCCTGTGGCGAAGCCGCCTCCGTGTCCCTTGAGCTGTGAGCACGTGGGCGGAGTTCAGTGTTCTGGGCGTGTGACTGTGCTTCTCAGGTGGCTACGGTTTCAGTGTAAGAATAAGGTCTCCGTGGCCCTGCTGCAGTGTCCTAGGGGTGTGAGTGAGTGTAGACCGGGGAGAGCCGCATTTCCGCCTCCCAACCCTTGTGGCAGGGGCCACGGCTACCCCGTCACCCTGAGCAGGGACAGAGGCAAAGACTTGTGCACGTCACGGGGCCGCGGGACGGGCCGGCTCTCGTGGGTCAGACGTGGCTGAGCTGGGCTTTGAATCTGGATTTGAGTTCCCATCCTGCACACTTCTCTACCTCGCGTGCTGCCTCCTATGCACTTGAGCTCCGTCCTAACCTTGCAGTGCAGTTTAGGAAAACCTGTTCAAGGTCTCTGCTGCCTGCTGGGTGTGAACTGCTGGGCTTCCTGGGTCTTCTGTCCAGGGGTGCCTGCGGGGCGCCTGCTGCGGTGGTTACTGTGAGGACCTGCGGGTGACTGCTTTTGCCATGTTCGCCTTTAGGAGCAACGTTTAAAGTTTTTGAAACAACAAGATCAGCGTCAGCAGCACCAGGCCGCCGAGCAGGAGAAGCTGAAGAGGCTGAGAGAACTGGCCGAGAGCCAGGAAGCCAAGCTGAAAAAGGTGCGGGCGCTCAAGGGCCACGTGGAGCAGAAGCGGCTGAGCAACGGGAAGCTGGGTGAGCTGAGCCCGAGGGCTGTGTGGATGTGGGCTGGGTGATGGTGGGCTGCGAGGACGTGGGGCTGTGTGGACGTGAGTCTGCATGGATATGGGGCTGTGAGGACGTGGGGCTGTGTGGATACGGGGCTGCGAGGACGTGGGGCTGTGTGGACGCCCCTCTCACCCTGGATTCCCCCAGTTACTCGGGGGCTGAGGCGGGAGGGTCACCTAGGCAGGAGTCTGAGGTCAGCCTGGGCAACACAGCAAGGCCTGCACCACTACCCCTCAAAAAATCTGGGGTCAGGAAGACCTTGAATCTGCATGGATCCAGGGCTGCGTGGATGGGGGCTGGGTGATGGTGGGCTGCGAGGACGTGGGGCTGTGTGGACGTGAGTCTGCGTGGATATGGGGCTACGTGGATGTGGGGCTGCGTAGACTCAGGGCCGTCAGCAGTTTATGTGAGTTTTTGCTCAGATGATGAGTTTTTGTAGGTTATTTTAAAAGGAATTTTTGGAAAAAGCATAATTTATTGCAGTTGTGACATTGCAAGTTCTTCTCAGTTGAATTTGGCACTGAGTGTTTTGTAGACTTTTTCAAATTAACCGTGGAAAAGGTTGTACTTTCTTTTCTGTTGAATTAACTCTGGAGTAAAAATTTGATGAAGATATAGATTTTACTCACATAATAGTTCCATCTATTATAATACTATTTAAAATTAGGATTTTAGTAATTCAGTAGTTCTGTCCATCATTGTACAATTGAGAATAAAAGTTCATTGTTCCCAAAATATGGAGTTTAATGTTTCATACATTCACTGTACAAAGCCTGCAGCACCTGCAGACGCTGCACTGACATTTTGAGATGTCCAGGTTCCTTTCAGTTGCTTCTGAAAGGCTGAGGTTGGTTCCAGGCCATTCTGAAAGGTTTCTCCACTTCTCAAGAGAGCTGGTTCTGGGAAGGAGTCCATCCCTGTTTTTCTTTTCTGTTCTCTCGTTGCAGTGGAGGAAATTGAACAGATGAATAGTTTGTTCCAGCAGAAGCAGAGGGAGCTGGTCCTGGCCGTGTCTAAAGTAGAGGAGCTCACGAGGCAGCTGGAAATGCTGAGGAATGGCAGGATCGACGGCCACCATGACAGCCAGTCTGCGGTGGCCGAGCTGGACCGGCTGTACAAGGAGCTGCAGGTGCGTGCGGCAGAGCCGTCTGGGAGCTGGGGTAGCGGGAAGTGCCTGGAGCAGCTGCTTTTCCTGGGAGGGTGCGGGCGGGTGGCACTGTCCCAAAGGACCAGAATAAACTTGGTGGCACCTCAGACAGGAAACATGGGCCCAACCGCAGCCAGCGCAGATGTCCCTTAGTTTTAACCCAGGAGTGAATTGTGTGGCCACACCTCACAGTGTTAGAAGTTGGGCAACAGTGAACCATGTGGTTGCCTGCCAGGGATAGGTTCCTCCTCTTGTTCTTTCTCTGCCGCCTGTTAGTCCTTCCCATCCATTCTGCAGCTGAGGAACAAGCTGAACCAGGAGCAGAACGCCAAGCTGCAGCAGCAGAGGGAATGCCTGAACAAGCGCAACTCCGAAGTGGCCGTCATGGAGCGGCGTGTCAGCGAGCTGCGCGACCGGCTGTGGAAGAAGAAGGCGGCCCTGCAGCAGAAGGAGAACCTGCCGGTAAGGTGGGGTGGGCGGGGCGGGGCCGGCAGCTGGTCAGCCCGACAGTCCTCCGCGTCCTTCTGATGCTGTCACCTGTGCAGCGCTGCTTGTTCCCTTGTTACGGACCCCCAGGATGGAGTCTGGGCGTGGGCGCATTGTTGGGGGCTCGGGGGTGTCTGTAGATTATGCCTGTGTGCTGAAAACACTGTGAAGTCTCCCCAGCCCTTTCCCACTGCACCGCTTGGTACTCACAGCCCGGGCCCTGGGCCCTTTTCCCCAGCTTCTGCCTGATGGGAATCTCTCCCAGCCGCCGGTGTCCGCTCCGAGCCGCGTGGCTGCCGTAGGCCCATACATCCAGTCGTCCACCATGCCGCGGATGCCCCCGAGGCCGGAGCTGCTGGTGAAACCGGCGCTGCTCGAGAGTCCCCTGACCGTGCAGGCCTTGGAGGGGCCGGTGAAGATGCAGACACTGCCCAACATGAGGACTGCGGCCACACTGCCCAAAGGTGACAGCGCCGCGGCTCTCTCCCTGGATTCCCCCAAGTCAGGGTTAGAAACAAAGTTACCTGCATGCTCCTATTCATGTTTAAAATTGGAAATTCCCTTTGGATTGTCGGTCAGTGTTTTTTTTTTTTTAAACTCTGATTAATATAAATTCTATTCAGAAAATGAAATTTAATACTCTGCAAATCTAAAAATTGCTTTAAGAAGTTCCCTCTTGTTAGGTAGGAAATTTGGTCGGAGGTTAGTAACTTGAGGACCTTGGTCTTTGTATAAAAGCACCACACACATAAACGTTAGTGTTGTCTCTACAGAAAGTGAGGCTGTGAATCTGTTCTCTTCGTGAATGGTGCCGAGTGTTCCTGTGTGCTTATGCACAATAACTTGCCCACTGATAGTTTTTAGAACAGAGGTGAACACATGCTAGGAGGTTTAGGGTGAAAATACTGAGGCTTCTTGCACGTGTGATCTTGGCATTCTGCGTAGTCCAGATACATGGGGAGGTGCAGCAGGGTTTTGTGTGGACACAGAAATTGAAGGGCCAGTCATTGCAAGGGCAGCGCACAGAGCTCCTCTAACAATGCCACCATTCAGACCCCTGGGAGGAGGATGTGATCGCCAGCCTGGGCACTTTCCTCAGCATTGTTATATGCAGCGGGTAACTACCATCGCTGTGCTGGGGAGAAGTGGAGCCGAGTCATCTGGCTCTGTTTATTCTAGAAGGGGAAAATAAAAGCCGTGGCATCTGGAATTTAAATGTCAGTGTAGAAAAAGCCTGCAAACACTGATGTGTGAAGGACGGAGGTCGCAGTTGGGGGTCGAAAGTGCAGAGCGTTGACAAGTGCACAGAGGCCTTTCTGTCGGCGCGGGTCATTCGAGTACCGTGCGGGTCGCGTCTCGGAGGCTCTGTCCTGCTGCATGGCAGACGTGCTCTGGTGGCCAGTGAAGTTTTCTTAGCAGCGAGGAGGAGCCGGGCCTCGCTGACTGCGGCAGGCGTTTTGTTTGCTGGGACTCAGTTGAATTCCCCAAGTGCGGTGGAGAGCCCCAGATGAGAAGTACAAGCCTGCTGAGGTGCGGTCTGAGCGCATCTCCGGGGCGGTTGTGTGAATCTAGAGCTGTCTAGAGATCAAAGTGTTGTTAGTGTGCTGAGTCACTGGAGCGTAGCTGCCTTCTCTCTGCACCCTAGGCCCGAAAGCCCCTCCTGCCGTCCCTGTCCCCGACTGGGCCCCTTCGAGTGCAGACCTGTCCATGCCGCAGAGTGCGAGGCCTGCCGCGGACCAAGGTGAGCATACCCGTGCGGCTCCCGGATGTTGCCTGCTGACCATCTAAAGGGTCCTGTGTCTTCTTTCCTAGGTGGGTGGTTTTTAGGGCGTGACACCTGGGGTCGGCTGCTGAGAGCATTCTGTTGACTCCTGGACACTTTCACTCAGCCGAGCCTGAGGTGGTGTCACGGTGGTGTTACCAGCGTGGCATCAAGCAGGAAAGCCCTTGGTGGGGCGGAGCTTAGAGTAAGGCCGGGCGCCTCCGAGTGGGTAAGCAGCTTCGTGCCACACAGTGTCATATCAGTGTGGTTTCTTTCCGCCCTCAGTTGACGATGGGGAGGTTCCACTGAGGGACAAGGAGAAGAAAGTGCGGCCGTTCTCCATGTTTGACACGGTGGACCAGGGCGCCGTCCCACCCGGCTTCGGCATGCTGCGGAAAAACCAGAGCAGCGAGGACATCCTGCGGGACGCCCAGGTACTGGGGCATGTGGGTTTTTAAATATGCCGGTAATTCTGTGGTGTAGGGGAAGGAGTTAGGAGAGAGAGCAAAAGAAATGCAGTGGATAGGAGGCCTAGGGAATCCAGCAGCTCTCCAGTGCTTGGAGAGTGGCCGGCGTATTTGTCTGGCTGTTTTGTGTGATTCTTCAAGAGTATAGCTGTGTGGAAGAACAAAGTGTTTGTGCTGTTCGGGGATCTTATTTCTCTGAAGTCTGGGGCTGAGCTAATGTGAAGCAGTGCTGGGAAGCTCTTAACCGTGGAGAGGCAGGTTGCCCTGTCGGCCCCGGTTAGGTGGTGTCTGACAGCGGTGGCCCAGGCGGTGCAAGGTTCTGGTAAATGAGGTGGTGGTCTAGGAGGGGGCCATCGGTGAATGTGAAGTCAGCAGGGAGGTGTTTTCAAGTGGCACTTACAATGCCCAACAGGAGGCGGAGCAGTCCTGAGAGGAGCCTGTCGTATTGCTGAAGCCCGTGTTAAGTGAGATCCGGTAGGAGGTGCAGAAATGTGGAGCTGATATTTCGTAGTGTGTACTTATGTTTGTGAGGTCAGCTGAAGCCCGGATACCCAGTGAACAGCATTCTAACTGGCTCTGCGTGTGTGTTTTACAGGCTGCAAATAAGAACATGACTAAAGTGCCACCTCCAGTTCCTACAAAACCGAAGCAGATTAACCTGCCTTATTTTGGACAAGCCAGCCCATCACCTTCTGACACCAAGCCGGAAGGAAACCTGCAGCCATTGCCGTCCGCTGTGACAGCTGTGAGCCATAAGCCCAAGCCAGCAGGGCCTCAGCCGAGGGTGGTGCTGTCCCCCAGCATGCCTGCCGGCGGCCACGACCACGGCCTGTCCACGGGCCCTAAGCAGGAGAGCCCCCCTGCTGCCGCCGTGCGGCCCTTCACGCCCCAGCCTCCCAAAGACGCCTCCCTCCCAGCCCTCAGGAAGCCCCAGACCGTGGCAGCAAGCTCCATCTACTCCATGTACACGCAGCACCCGGCGCCGGGGAAGAACTTCCAGCAGGCTGTGCAGAGTGCGCTGACCAAGACACAGCCGCGAGGCCCGCACTTCGCCAGTGGTGAGCCCGCGCCGCCCGCCCGCCCGCCCGCTGTCCGGGACAGCAAAGCCCCTGGCCCCTCTGGCACTGATGCCACTGTCCCAGGACTTTAACAGTGGCTCCTCTTTTGGAAGGGGACTGCCCGAACCCCTGTGGGGATTTTAGCGGGCCAGCTCCCTCCCGCTGTCTCACCTCTGGACCATCTGCATGTAGTTGAGGTTCAGTCTGGACATGTGTGAGGGTTCCCAGTGTTGGTTTTTTTTTTGTACCGGGAATTGAACTCATGACCTCAGTCTTGCCAGGCAAGCACTTATGCCACTGAGCTATATCTCCAGCCCCTCAGGAGGGGTCCCAGTGTTTTTCTGCACTTCTGACAATTTGGATACCGGAGTCAGATTTCTTACACAGACGTTTTCCTTTGACTGGTTCACAAAGTACTGGCACATGCGACGGTCTCGATTCTGTAATTGTGTTATGCAGAGATGAGCTTTAAGAATGGTTGTGCTTCAGGGACATGTGCGTTAACCTGGAAGTTAGAGGAGACTGAGTTGCTGTTGTCCCTTTGGGTTCCAGGCCGCTTTGCTTGCGCAGTCCTAACCTGGATCTTGTTGTTTTCCTTTTCCGGTCAGTGTACGGCAAGCCCGTGCTTGCCGCGGCCCAGAACCTACAGCAGCAGCAGCCCGAGAACGTGTACGGTGGCGGCGGCCAGGGCCCGCCGGGCAGCCCAGAGCCCGAGGTGGAGTCCGCGTCCTCGGCCCAGGAGAGCCACGAGCACGAGCGCATTCCACGCCCACTCAGCCCCACCAAGCTGCTGCCCTTCCTGTCTCACCCCTACCGGAACCAGAGTGACGCCGACCTGGAGGCCCTGCGCAAGAAGCTCTCCAACGCGCCCAGGCCGCTGAAGAAGCGCAGCTCCATCACGGAGCCCGAGGGGCCCAACGGGCCCAACATCCAGAAGCTGCTGTACCAGAGGACCACGCTGGCCGCCATGGAGACCATCTCGGTGCCCACGCACCCCTGCAAGGCACCCGCCCCCGTGACTGATGGTTCAGAAAGCCCGGGAGAAATCCCCAACCCCTACTTACATGTGGAGCCTGAGAAGGAGGCTGCCCCTGCCCCCGAGCCGCTGTCCCCAGAGGACGTGGGGCCCAGCAGGGCAGGGGACGGCGAAGGGCCTGCTCCTCCCTCGGGCCTCGACTGTGTGTCTGAAGGGGCTGCGGATGGCGGCCCGGGTCCCCAGGGTGCTGCAGAGGAGCCACGTGCAGAGCCCCCCCACCTGCTGGAGGTGTACCTGGAGGAGTACCCTCCGTACCCGCCACCACCCTACCCGTCTGGGGAGCCTGAGGTGCCTGGAGAAGACCCTGCCAGCATGCGCCCCCCAGAGGTCACCGGGCAGGGTGCTCTGCCTCCCGTGAGTGCCCGTGGCCCGGGCCACGCCGCGTCTCTGCCTCCCTCCCTCTTCCTGTGGTCCCAGCCTTCTCCTCCAGTTCGGTTTTTACTTTGTCTTGGCGCAGGTCTTAGAACTGTAACCAGATGCAGTTTATGTAGAAGCAGGGGGCAGGTGCACACACCCAGAAAGCTGAGACAGGAAGATTGTGAGTTCAAGACCAGCCTAGGCTACAGAGCGAGACCCTATCCCAGAAAACACAACTGAAACCACAAAAACGCAGCATGCTCAGGATAAGAAACATTTCTAGAGTCTAAGACAGCCCGCACTTGTTTGTGAAGGACAGTGCTGGTTGTTCTTATCCCCATTGGGGCCGCGTTTGCTGTTTCCTCCCCGGCTCTCATCCCGTGTGGGGAAGCCGAGGCAGATTGGATGTTGAACACTGGCCTGGCCCTGTGACCCCGGCTCAGGGTGGCATGACTGCTCTAGGTGGCACTACCACTCTCTCAAACCTTTCTTTTTCTAGGAGTGAATTTCAAAAAAGCTTTTCTTAAAGTTTTGTGCAGCGCTGGGGATGGAACCCAGGGCATTGCACAAGCTGAGGGATTGCTGTCACTGAGCTGCACTCCCAGTGCAGGACATTTATTTTTAGTGGAATGTGGGTTGTGTGTGGTTGCCAGGGTTGGAGGAAGGGGCATTGTGGGGGCACCGCCACCCAAGTTCCCTTTTGGCGGGGTCGGAGGTCTCTGCCCACCTGAGGGCCGGCTTCTCTGCGTTCTCCCGGGAAGGTATGTCGGGAGTGAGGGGCTGGCTCGGGCTGCCTTGGAGCCCTTTCACGGTGGCAAGCACTTGTTTGGAAGCTCTTGTGTTATTTTGACACAGATGTGAGAATAAGAACTCCAGGATATCCCAAAATAGTCTGTTTTACTTGGAAGTTGTTCTGTTTCCACAAGCACAGGAGTGGAGTGCAGAGCTGTGAGTTTAAAGTGTGGTTAAAAGCAAAATAGCATCTTGCTATTTATTTTGTGTGTTTGGTGCCTTCTACCATCTTTTAGCTGTGATAGTGTACAAGATGATGAGTATCTGTAGCTGCCTTACTGGTTCCGATAAATACCTGCTTACAGGTTTTAGGTAGTAAACAGTTCAAGTTAGAGAAAGATGTTTTAAAATGAGGCTAATAGTTTTCAAACAACTCCACGCCCCTCCAGGGCGAAGGCCTGGTTCTGTGCATTCGTGTTTTAAGTGTGACAGAGAAGAAAGCAACCAAGCTTTGTTGGCCAAATCAACCCACACTGCAGCTGGTGGTGGTTGTGTCAAGGAAATGCACACTTGAGGAGGAGAAAGCCAGGGTTTGTGAAAGCAGTGTGCTTTCTTTTGAAGGTTCTGCTGAGCTCTTCCTAGGAGAGTGAGCGCTCCGTCCTCCTGTGCAGGTGGCATGGGTACTGCCATCCTGAGTGTCCTTAGGGTGGGTGGCAGCTTGCCTGCGCTGCACCTTGGGCGGGCATAGCACGTCCTCTAGGGCACTCTGTCCACGGGGGCTGGCACGCTTGTGAGATGTATCATTTGCCACTTCGTGTTTGCAGAACTCAGTGGCTTTCTACAGCTGATACAAAGCGAGAGAGAAGTGTGTGGTATCTTTGAGAACTTTTCCACTTCTTTGGATGTGTTTAGGAAATCTGTTTTACAGGATTTAGATGTAGACATTCAGATTCTTGAGTGTGAGCATGTGTGTGTGTTAACTGGGGTTCAAACCCGGGGTCTCACGCATACTAGGCAAGAGCTGCACCCCAGTCCTTTTTTATTTTGTTTTTGAGATGTTCTCTCTAAATTGCCCAGGCTGGCCTCGAACTTACAGTGCCCCTGCCTCGGTCTCCTGTGTAGCGGGATTATAGGCGTGCACCATCGTGCCCGGTGCCTTTTAGAAGCCTGACTTACCAGAACATTTTAGGGCTAGCAGGGTCCCTCAGTGCCCCTGACGGTCACAACAGTCTGCGTCGCGCCTCGCGGTGTGCTTGGCCTGCACAGATGGTCTGGTTTGGCGGAGAGGAAGGGCCCCAGAGAAGCCGGTCCCCGGGGCTGGAGCCCCGCTCTGTGCTCTCTGGCCCTGCCTTAGTCGCTTTTGTGTGAGTCGGGACAATGGGGTCTTTGTGAGGTGACATGAATGGGCATTTGTCCCCATGAGCCTCCGAAAGTGAGCGCATGGAGCCTGGCTTGGCGGTGGGGTGCGTGGCAGGGGCGCCTGCCCGCCGCCTGGTCACTGTGTCCCCCCGCACTGTCACCAGGTACTTTCAGGCCAGGCCCCTGCCTCAGCCCCGTGGAGTGGCGCTGTGGACACTGGTGAAGTGCGTGCCGTGGTTTGTATGCTTTTCTGAGTGACGCTGTCTGCGGTATAATGAGCTACATCATACGTCAGAGTTCCTTCCACTGCCTCAGCTGAGCACCTCCTCACCCTGCTTTCTTTCGCTTCATTTTCCACACCTTTCTTCTGCAGGGCAAAAGGACAAACTTGCGTAAAACAGGCTCAGAGCGGATTGCGCACGGAATGAGGGTCAAATTCAACCCTCTCGCCTTGCTCCTGGATTCCTCTTTGGAGGGAGAATTCGACCTTGTGCAGAGAATCATTTATGAGGTGTGATGTTCATTTCTGGGATATAACCTTGTAGATTTTGCTTTAAAGCTCAAATTAGAAAGTTACTCTAGGGAAGTTGTATTTTTAAATTTCTTTTCTAGGGTTGTGGGGTTGAGGAGCTTTGGAGCATATGCTAAAGTAGGCTCCACTGTTTTAAAAGTGTGACTAACGTTTTGATGATGGAGGCGGCCCCCTCACTTGGCATCTGCTGGAGTATTCCTCTTTCCCGGGGAGATTATGACTCTTTAGAAATCGCTCATGTGTGGACTTGTACAGTGTTGGATCGCAGATGTGGTCCCTACTTTTCAGAAGGCTACTATTTAAAATATTTTTTGGTTGCCTTTTTCTTTTTCCATAGCAAATGTTGCTTGGAACATTCTTCTGCTTGGAAACCAATTAATTAGAAAGTTGGGAGGACAAACAAAAATTACATCCATTTTTTTAAAAAACCTTTCCCCAGTGAGTGCCTACGTAGTGTGGCTGTACCTTTATTTCTAAGGTTGTTCCTGGTTTAGTCTTCTCGGCTCCTGTAGGTTTTCACTGTGATTTTTAGAGATGTCACAAAGCCTGTCTCCATGCCTGTGACTGAGGAGTCGGGGGGACAGCTGAGGCGACAGAAGTCAAGTTTGTCCCTCTTGTGTGGTTCCAGGTGGAGGACCCCAGCCTGCCAAATGATGAGGGCATCACCGCACTGCACAACGCTGTGTGTGCCGGCCACACGGAGATCGTGAAGTTCCTGGTTCAGTTTGGGGTGAATGTGAACGCTGCCGACAGCGACGGGTGGTAAGGGTCCCGCCCAGCTGGTGGGGGCTGTTGTGCTGTTGGAGGCCAGCAGTGTCCCTGCGTGTCCTCCAGTCTGCGCGCCCAGCCGGAGGGATGTGGCCTCAGGTTTTAAGGAATAAATGCGTGACGTGGAGCAGTCGTCTCCTTGATCACGAGCGATGCGGTGACCATGGGTAAGACAGTGAACTGGGTGACTAATGGGCAGGCAGCATATACAGTGCAGATACACTGGGCAGGAGAGTCCGAATTGTGGTGGGGCAGAGTACGTGCATGATTTCATCATACCACGCAGAACAGGTGCAGTGTAGAGCTTGTGGAGTATTTCATCTGGAATTTTCTGGTTAGACTTTTCAGGCTACTTTTGGCCTTGGGCAACTATAGAAAAAGTTATACTCCTATACCATAGTATTTTTAGTTTTTAATCCATCTTTCCTCTTAGTGCTGTGTTAGCTTTCTGTAGCTGTGACCGAAAAGCTGAGGGCTGTGACTTGGAGGAAGAGAGGTTTGATAGGCTCACAGTTTCAGAGGCTTCCATCCAGGTGAGTGGCCCCAGCACAGGGCCCAGACTAGGGGCAGAACGTCCCCTCCTGAGGCCGCCTGGACCCCTTCCTCCCCTCAGGCCTCAACTCCTAGCATTTCCACCCCACCCCGACGTACTGCCAGGTGGGGGCATTTCAGGCACCAGTGTCAGGGTCAGAAGCTCCAGTGGCATGATTGGTTAGTGCGAGGCACTTACATAGAAGTGGTTATGCTGCAGCCTCAGATCCTCACATGCATGCGTGCAGGCGGCACATGGCTCACACACGTATGAACCGACTTCATGTTACTGCACAGGGGGACCACAGATGCGTCTGTCGAGGCTGCTCCCCCTCAGTAGTCATTGAGATTGATTTTCATTTTGGATGTTGTTTTTATTAGAACTAATACTTGGAGAAGCTTTTTGATTGTGCTTTTAAAAAGGGTCACGTTTATAAAAGTAATGTACACCCACGGTGGAGAATGTACAGGATAGAGAACTGAGAAGATGAGAACAAGCCAGGGCATCTCCATGGCCTGGCGTCGAGCGCCATGGACACTGCGCTCACTCACTGTCCCCCCTTTCCTCTTGTGCACGCGGCCTGAACCAGGGCCTTGGCATGGCCTCTGCCACTGAGCACCCCCAGCCCCAGCTGGTTTTGTGTGTGCTTTAAGAAGGTAGCGGAGATCATTTCGTGTGTGTGCGTGTGCGTGTGCGTGTGTGATTATTTACCCCTAAATAAATCCCTACTGTATCATAATGTCCTTGTTTCCCTAACACGGGGAGTTTTGTGTGTAATTTTTCTGTTAAAAATGATGTAGGGAAGACCATGGTAATATTCAACAGACCATCAGTAGTTCCCTGGACCGGGCAGGGAAATTTCTTTTAAAGACTGTGCACCCGAGGGAGCCAGGCGAAGGGGAGAGGAGTGAGCAGGGAGTCGGACGCCCCAGCCCATCTTTTCGCTGGGACAGGAGGTGCACGCGCTCTCCTCTTATGCCGTCGCTGTCTGCATGGGGTCTCTGATGACCGAAAACGTGTGTGATGCTGAGGATTCTGCCTGATGGCATCAATAAGTTCCTGCTGATCAGGTCCCTAAAACAGATGGAAATGTGCGTTTTACAGTTACTTTTCTGGTCTGAATTAACCAATAGTTTCAGTTCAAATTTACTTTGCGTTTTAAAAACCACTGTAGGGATAGCGTACCTGCCGCTGGATTCTCTCGGTAGGGGCAGTAGAGAGCGTTTGGGGTGTGTTTCGCAGTGTGTCCAGATTCGGCTGTGAGGTCCTCCCGCTGGACAGCAGTGACTGGGCCGGCGAATCAGACATAAAACTAAACCTGCCTCACCTGCCCTCCCTGGACTGTGTGTGAACTGCGTCTCCTTGGTTCTTCTCGCTGTTCACCTGGCGCCTGGCCCGTGGGGCCTGTTGCTCTGTGACATTTCCTTCGTTGTGATTCTGTGGTGGTTCTGGCTGTGGAAGGCTGTTTGAAGCCAGTCACCCCAGAGCTCTGCAAAGCAGAGATGGGCGAATGTGAGGTCTAGCCCAGCCCGGGGAACTCAGTGACTCCACAAGAGCCTGTCTCAAAATAAAAATGTAAAGGGTAGCGGGTATAGCTCAGTGCAAAGGTCCTGGGCTCAGTCCCCAGCACCACTGACATGATACCACACCATACCACAGGACACTGCACCGTACCGCACTGCACTGCAGCACACCACACCACACCACACCACAGCACACCATAGGACACCGCACCACACCACACCACACCACACCACAGCACACCATAGGACACCGCACCACACCACACCACAGAACACCACACTGTACCATACCACACCACACACCATACCACAGGACACCACACTGTACCACACCACACTACACCACAGCACACCATAGGACACCGCACCACACCACACTGTACCATACCACACAACACCACACTGTACCACACCACACCACACCATAGCACACCATAGGACACCGCACCACACCACACCACAGGACACCACAGAACACCACACTGTACCATACCACACCACACACCATACCACAGGACACCACACCGTACTGCACCACACTGCAGCACACCACACCACACCACACCACACCACACTGTACCATACCACACCACACCACACCACACCACACTGTACCATACCACACCACACCACACACCATACCACAGGACACTGCACCGTACCGCACCGCACTGCAACACACCACACCACACCACACCACACGGCACCATAGGACACCACACAACACCACACTGTACCATACCACACCACACACCATACCACAGGACACCACACCGTACTGCACCGCACCACACCATAGGACACCACACTGTACCACACCACAGGACACCGCACAACACCACACTGTACCATACCACACCACATGACACCACACCATAGGAGACCATACAACACCACACCACACCACAGGACACCACACCGCACCACATGACACCACACCATACCACATAGCACCACACTACACCATACCAACCCCATGACACCACACCACATGACACACTATTCCACACCGTACTGCACAGTGCCACACCACACCGCACCACACCACACCACACGGCACCACCCCTCGCGTGTTGGAGAGCTGGGCTGGGAGGGAGCCGCAGTGCCATCGTGGTTGGAAATGGCTGCGCTCCTCTCTCCTGCAGGACCCCTCTGCACTGCGCGGCCTCATGCAACAACGTGCAGGTGTGTAAGTTCCTGGTGGAGTCGGGCGCGGCCGTGTTCGCCATGACCTACAGCGACATGCAGACCGCGGCTGACAAGTGCGAGGAGATGGAGGAGGGCTACACGCAGTGCTCGCAGTTCCTCTACGGTATGTACCCCCGCGTCGTCCTGGGCGCCGAGCGCAGGGTGCCAGGTCGCGGGTGTCACCTGGCCTCGGCCATGCCAGGTGTCCTGCTCTGAGTCCGGGAGAGCCCCGGGGGCTCTGGTGCTGTGAGGTGCTGGACCTGCAGTGAGTGGACCCCGCTTCACCGCCGCAGGAATCCGGACGGCCCAACTTTGCAGGCAAATCGGCCGCATCCTGAAGTCAAGGGCAATGCCTATTTGGGGCTTTTTTCTTTTTATTTCTTGAGTCTGAGTTGATGATTCTGATTGCTCACATCAGATCAATCCCTAAGAAAAGCAGAGTTGAAGGTTTAGCTGGGTACATGCCAGTTTCCATTTTTATTTGGGGAAAGTTTTTTATTCACAAGACTTAGAAGTTGAAGTAGCTCTTTTCAGTTTGCCTGAGAGGAGCAGGGCACAGGCAGGGGACGTGCAGTGCAGCCCGGGACTCTGTGCCCCAGCTGTCTGAGGGTTTTTTTTTTTTTTTTTTGGTACCAGGAAGCGAACTCAGGACCTTGTGGTTGCCGGGCAGGCACTGTGCCACTGAGCTACATCCCTGGCCCTGAGCTGTTATTCTGAGCATATTAAAATGTCCAGAATTTCTTCCCTACCTGTTTCTCCATTCCCATCCCAAAGAGATATGTGAACGGCCAGTTCTAAAACTTGGTGGAATTGAGCTGTATCATGATGTTTATTCTGTCATGCTTTACAAGTCTTATTTCAGCAGGAAAGTTGGAAATCTGTGTAACTCTCTAGATTGGTAGAGCCTTCTTTTGGTGAAGTATAATTTCATTTTTTGTTTCATTTTTGCCACGGGAAGGGGAGAGAGAGACAGACAGGCAGACAGTCAGAGGCGGGTGGGAATGAGAATGGTACATCGTGTGAACTGGTGCAGAGAAAATGGTTTAGACTTAATACTTTGGTGCTCATATAAATTGAAAGATCTATTCAAGAACAAGCATGTATTCCCCTGGGCTTTTTTTTTTCTGGATTTTTAAAGACACAAAGGTGAAAATAAGCTGGGCATCTAGCTCAGTGGCACAAGCACCTGCCTGGCAAGCGCAAGGTCCTCAGTTCGATTCCCAGTATCAGAAAAAGGTGAAAATAAGTAAATGCCGAGTCACTGATTCCTTGTCTGCCTTTCCGGTGGCCTGTGGCTGGCGATCGCTTTCTCTGCGTGGCATGGCCCCCGAGAACAGGAAGGGGTAAATGGAGAAAAGTAACGCTGAACGCTGTTTCACAGAGGGATTATTTACTCTGGGGAAAAGTGGGCCTTTGAAGATTTTTCCAGCCCCAGTTTGGGGATTTCAACATCTTTTCAGTTCTGATTCATTATTTTAGAGTAGCTTGCATATAAACTTTTATATCAAGTCTAAACTGCTGAATTTCTACTTTCTACCATGCTTGATAGTGTATTTCCTTTCCTTGGTGCATTTGGGGCTCAGTGGAGCCCCAAAGAATAGACTCAAGACTGCCGATCTTTTCTGTCTCTGGTGGGTTTGGGGTAAAGAGCGATGTTTCCAGAGTTCCTTGCTCATTACATTGTGAAGTGGGCTCAGAGCTGACAAGCGGATCATTTATTTTTGAAAAACCCTCAACTTGAGCAGGTTTTAGGTCCGGGGCTGGCAGCAGCTTTTGTCCTTGGAGTGAGACAGTGTGAGGGGTGCTCACGGGGCTGGAGTCGGGGCTGCGTTAGATGTGATCACGCACCTCGTGTGTCTTCTGTGCGCCGCACGCCGCTGGTCTTTCCTTCAGCCCGGAACATGCTCACTGAGCATCTGCTGGAGTATTCCGACGTCCCAGTCAGTCCCTGAGTGACGTCTCCTCTGCTGTCCTTTCCCTCGCCTCTGCAGGGGTTCAGGAGAAGATGGGCATCATGAACAAAGGCGTCATCTACGCGCTGTGGGACTATGAGCCTCAGAACGCAGACGAGCTGTCCATGAAGGAAGGAGACTGCATGACCATCATCCGCCGAGAGGATGAGGACGAGATCGAGTGGTGGTGGGCGCGGCTGAGCGACCAGGAGGGCTACGTCCCACGCAACCTGCTGGGCGTGAGTGACCCTCAGTGTGTGTGTGTGTGTGCGTGCGCGTGTGCGCACGTGCGTGCATGTAAGAGAGGGCTTTGTGAAGACCGTGTGCCACGCATACACTTTCCTGTTACGAGGATGCCGTTGTGAGCTTTTGACCTCTTAGATTAGACGTAGTCAGTGCTTCCCTTATGCTCAGCGTGAGAACGTTGTGCTTGAAGACTGCGTTAAGCTCTGCCGTAGACCCTGTGTCTCTTACAGGTTCTTTGTGCACAGGGGTGTGTGGAGTGTGAGACAGAGATGAGGAGGATAGAGGAGAGAGGCCATGTAGTCCGCAGGGAGAAGCCCCTGCACAGCCTGCTTCTGGTGAGGAGTAGGGAGGCTCGAGGGAGGGCAGGCCTGTGGGACTCGCAGTGTATGCACAGGGTCCCGGCTCCGCAGATCCCAGCCTCTTCTGGTAGCTGTGGGGGTGGGGAGCAGGCCTGCACCCCGGACTGGTGAGGGCAGCACAGCAGCCAAGGTGGAGCAGCGGCCCTGCCCCGCAGGTGTCCTCCCATGTGCCACCTGGACCCCACCAGCGGGAAGCAGGCGCTGCCTGGGGGTCCCTGCTGCTTGGCACTGTGCAGCTCCTGGGACGACACCAACGCAGGGCCTGGCTGGAGGATTCGGCCCGGTGTCCCCTCCTGACCACCTCCCCATGGTGCGTGGGCAATGTCACGTGCAGTGACGGTCCCCCTCCCGAGGGCAGTGTTTGTTGTGACATGCTTCCTCTGGGATTAGTGTCACTTAATCGATCTCAGTGTCCAGTTTAGTGAAGGTTCAAACATTAGTGTGCAGCGCTTGTAAAGAGAGCTTCCCGTCACCCAGGAATATGGACATGGTGCACATTCTCTGAGAGAGGGCTGCTGCTTCAAGCTGGGGACTTGCTTTAGTCTTTTTTTGTTGTTGTTCTTTTTGAGACAGGGTCTTGCTGTGCAGTTCAGGATGGCCTTGAGCTCACTTTGTAGCCAGGCTGGTCTCAAATTCGCAATGATCCTTCTGCCTCAGCCTCCCGAGTGCTAGGATTACAGGCGTGTGCCACCACACCTGGCTGGATTTAGTCTTTAAGTCTAATTTTGTAGTTGTCAGATAAGAATTATACACGCTTATATTATGTAGTATATATGTATGATGGCTAAATCAAGCTAATTAACACATGTCACCTCAGTTGACTTTTTGGCGGTGAGAATGAAATCTATTTTAGCAGCTTTTGAGGATGTTATACATTGTTACTGACCGAGATCACTGTAATACACAGTAGAGCTCTTGAATCTGAGTAATGTCCTATCACCGAGGCCTGGCCAGCTGCTGGCTGGGGAGCATGTCATTTGAGTTCTAAGATTAGATGTTCTTGGTCCTCTGGGATTCTTTCCTGGTCGGAAGAGTTGGTCAGAAGTGTTCTCTGTACAATTCTGGGTTGGTTTTTTTTTGATGTTTAAAAAAATAAAAGTCCATAAATGGTGCATTCTGGGGCAGAGGCTTTAGCTTTGAGTCTAGAACATTGTACTGGCTAAATATCTCTTCTCAGAGATACTTGGGCCGGGTTAGTTCTCCTGCTGGGTGGGAAGTCTGGCTGTCTCTGGTAGGCTGGGTTTCACCTTCTGGGGAAGGAGGAAGGAGGAGGCGGGATCTGCTTAGTGGCCAGTGGCAGCTCCAGGTCTGCGTGCTCCCGGCTGCCGGCCTCTGCCCGGCGCTAGCAGTGGGCGGTGCCAGGTCACCCGCGTCTGAAGCGGTGCACGCGCTGTTCTTCCTTCCTCTGCATGCTCTGAGGCGGTGGCGTTTGGTCCCGAGCCTGGAGTCCCCACCCAGCGTTCCATCTGCTGGGGACAGTTCAGCCCTTGCTCTGTGCTGTCTTTGTCCTGCGTCACTGGAGCATGGAGTGCGTCCAGCCGCCCGAGTGACCCACGCACAGAGATGCTGTTCTCAGGTCCGCAGGCTTGGCGCTGCCCTCACGGGTGCTCGTGTGGCTGCTCCGTGGCTGCGCCGCAGCCGTGGCTCTTGTGACCCGCCTTGTGCAGAGCGCGAGGCCCAGGGCTTTCTTTGACGTCTGTCTTGTGTTTGTTCCCCTCCTGCCAGTGTCTCCTGAAGTTTTGTCACACTCCCACCCACTGTGCAGGATGTAAGTATTTTTTAAAACTCTCTTCCAGCTGTACCCAAGAATCAAACCAAGACAAAGGAGCTTGGCCTGAAACTTCGCAGACTTTCACCTCACGAAGACTCACTCTGTGCTGTCACTAAGAAGAAGTAATACACTTGTTCCAGGCAAAAGTCTAGCAAGACGTACTTGAATGACAGCATAGCTCGGAAGGAGTGAAGAGTCGGCTCTGGGAGAGAATGAAGGACCGAGGAGGCCCCTGGGAGGTCGCACGCGCTGCTCCGGCTCGTGATGACGCAGGCCGCACCTCGTGGACAAGGCCGACGCGTGGGGAAGCCCCGTTTCCTGCAAGACACTGGCCGGTGTGCGGCTCCCGGCCCCACGGCGGGCGTCCCCAGCACTGCCCTGTGCCTGTCTCTGGTCAGAAAGGACCAGTGTCCCTGGGGCGCCTCCCTGGGCCCCCCGCACAGCAGCTTGGGCTCCAAGGCCGCACACACGCATGCGGGTTGGCGTCCGTGAGCAATAACATCGTAGGAGTTTCTTGTAGCATCTTAAGAATTATGCGTACATTTGAAATACTGAAACTAAGGCACACTACCTAAGCTAAACTAGATTTAGAATCTTGTTTTTAGGCTGAATTTGAATCTATATTTATTATCTTTTGTATCTTGGAAATTAGAAACTTGTTTCAGATTTACCTTTGATACTTGTCAAGATCATAGCTGACTTTCGTTGTAATAAAATAAAGCTTTTTGATTCTGAGCTGTTCGCTGGCCTTCATTTTTGATATCACAGACAGCCTCGTTTAAATGCAGCCACAGGTCGGGCAGTCAGGCTTCTTTGGCAGTCGCATGGGTAAGTGAGGGAGCGTTTCTCTGCGTACAGAGCTCTCCGTTTCGCAGGCGGGGGTGGGCCTTGCCGTGGAGCGAGGACTGCTGCCCGAAGCCTGCCTGCTTCTCCCTGGTGCCCGGGGTCCTCGCTCCCTGCTTCAGGAGTTGCCCGCATGGATTTTGTTGATGCATCCAGGAATGGTCCTGGAACCCATCTTGTTGGTAGGATGGTAATTAATAGAGGATCCGAACGAAGAACAGGGTCACTTTTCCTTACATACTTTTACGAGTAGCTAAATTGCAACAGGATGGGATGAAAGGACGTAACCACTCCTCCCCCGCCATCTTGCCCTGGGGTCTCCGCCCCTGACCTGTGTGGTGAAAGGCTCTGCAGAGTCGGCCTGGCTCGCAAATCAGCACACCTGCCTGCAGGGCGAAGAGCCTGTTATCCCGAGCTTCAAAGGCAGGAGGAAGCAGCTGGGGGGGTGTAGAGGCTCCTGAGGGTAAACAGGTGTGTGTGGGGGAAGGGCTGGGCCCACTGCCCTGGAGCTGAGGAGAGGCTGTGGCAGGAGGCAGGGCCTCTCTCGTGGCCACGCAGAGCTGAGCCAGCAGCCTGGGAAGCGTCCTCCCTGCGTCTCAGGGAACCTCGAAACCGATGGCCTCCAGGCTTTGCTGGGAGATGAGAGCGATCCTGAGCCGCTCGGTTTGTGTGGAGAGCTGCAGCAGCAGCTGCGTGGGTTCTGGGTGGGCCAAGACTGTCACCCACCCCCTCGGCCGCCCTGCCCGGACACGGGGCTTCCCCAGCCGCGGCTGCTCTGTGGGCAGCCCTTGACACCTGCACCTCTGTGTACCTGAGAGCTGCTGAGGGCGACTGTGCGGACTATGACACACGCAGCTTCTGGGTAAGCCGCTGACCTGGGAAATGAGGGAGCCATGGGGATCTGTTTTATATTCCTAACTTAGAACACTAAGTTATAACCCTAACTTGGAGCACCACTTGCTTCCTTTTTCCTCTTTATTATCAAAGTATCCTGATATCAGAGCTCCTTGTAGGAATATTTAAAAGTATAGAAAAGTGGGAAAGGCTACCCTAGAGGCGCTACTAACCCGTGGGCATGTTTCTTTGGAGCCCTTCCTACGATTCTCTTCACATAATTGAGAGCACACAAAGCTGTCCTGTCTTCTGTTCTGTGCTTGCGATTGCATGATAAGCACATTTTTAATGGCTGTGTAATATCCCATCATGTAACCTACCCAGTCAGATGTCTGTTTTGAACACATGGCTTAGTGGTTTTCAGTCCTGGCCTAGTGTAACTGGTGCTGGGGTCATTTTTTTGTTTTTGCTACAGGGTGTTCATACGCAGCCCAGGCTGGCCTTCAACTCGATCTTCCTACTGCAGCCTGCAGAGTGCTGGGATTACGGGCTGGGGTCATGTTTTTATGGTAGCAGTTTGTAGGTTTTAGAAAACAGAAGTAAAGGAGCTGGGGCGTGGGCCGCGCTCCAGGGAGCATGGAGGCTTGGGGTTTGCTAGATTCTAAGGCAGTGGAGCTCTGAGGGGCTGTAACTGGGTCCTGAGTGGGGGAGTCCTGTGAAAGGAGCAGAGTTAGGGAGAGGAGCTGCCCACAGGATGGGATGGGGTGCAGATGGGCGGGACACTAATCTAACCCTGACTAGCCGGGCAGCCTTGAAGATGGGGTGGGGGCTGACAGGACCGGTGCCAGGCGACCGCCGGTCAGCAGAAGCAGCGGCTTGGAAGTCTCATCAGCTGCTGCCACATGGTGCCCGGGGCTGGAGGCCACGAGAAACAGAGCCCTCTGCAGGCTGGTGGGGTGGGGCGTGCAGTGAGGCCGGGCGTGGCAGGATGGGAGGGGAGCAGAGGAGAGGCTGAGCTGGTGCAGCAGCTGAGTGGGGCTGGGCTCGGACCAGGGAAGGCAGAGGCGCAGGCCGGGCCTCTCCACAGGCAGCAAGCCGAGGGGCTGCTTCCCCAGGCAAAGTGGGCATGGTGGTCTGACACTACGTGGGCAGCCAGGATGCGGGGCCTCTCCCTCCTCGACTTCTCAGGCTTTTTTGACCTTGTTTCTTTTTCAACTTTTAAAATCTCATCTTGTGTCTGAACCAGTGAAGCCCTTGCCAGGTCAGCACTGTCTGGGGTCCCCAGGGGCCGCCCTCTGCCCTGGTCCGGTCGCCCACCTCTGCCCCCGCCCCAGCCTCATCCTCAGCCACCTGCCTCCCTGTGCCCTCCTCCCAACCTAGGGCTACCCGCTTGGCATCCTGCTGCCCACCCGTTGGTCCCTGCACGCCCAGCCTCCCTCAGCGGGGCGTGGGAAGCGCCCCGCTGTCTCTGCAGGAAGTGCCCGGCCACGCTTGCCGTCGGGTCATTGCACCTCCCCGCTCCAGGTGCCTCCTGGGGCCGGGGGCCACTGACTCCAGTCCCAGCTGGGGCCAGGACGTCACGACTGAGCCGACGGGCAAGGCCATCCGAGCGGCACAGAGTACCGATGAGAAACGGCGTTTCTGAGCTCAAGCTCGAGTCCTGTGTTTGGTCATAGGTAAGAAGCATCCTCTTCCTGATGAGGCAGACGACTGCCAGTGGGAACCCCGGCATCCCTCAGGTGCCCTTCAGCAAGGAATCGGCAGCGTGGCTGGCAGGCAACTCTTTATTCAACAGGACACTAGCATGGCGGTAAGGCAAAAGGCAATGTTTTTATGGCATGGCCAGCTTTTCCCAAAGTCAAGCCAGGAAGCGGGCCTGCGGCATCTCCTGCAGAGTGTCAGAGAGGTACGTAGAGGACCTGAAGAGTCCAGGCGGCCGACGGGTCAGAGGTTGCAAACCAGGGGCCTGGCATGGCCCACAGCCCACCGGGTGGCGCACGGATCCTGTCGGGGTGAGGCCACGTGTGTGCGAGGACCTGAGCGCTGCGCGTGCCGGCCTGTCTGACCCCGATGAGGGATGCTTCCCTTGCGGGCCCTCTCAGGCCGTGGGAGACCAGTTTCCTGGTGCCCACAGGGGATACTGCCCTACCTGGGCTGCCAGGTGGTAGATGCCACCACCTCGTTGTAAAGGTGACATTACCAGCCAGGCCCTCAAGGCCTGGAGACTGATTTAAAACACCTCCCTGCATGTCTTCGTGGATTAGTATTGCTCTGAACAGGAAAGTTGTAAAAGTCGAAAGTATGTACTGTTTATAGATGTAAAGCTTCCTTTGCGCTTGTCAAGGGTTAAGCAGCTCACCTGCATTTAGTACAATAATACGCAAACCTTCTACCTGGATATGTGAAAGGGAGGCTATCTCAGACAGACAGTATTCTTTCCGGCTACCACCCTCAGTTTACGTAAATGTTCCCACAATTCCCAGGGCCTGATGCAGTGTCCAGAAGCTTAGTCCCTGCTGATTTTCCTTCTCCGACGTCTCCAGGCAGTGTCACAGCACTGAGAAACACAGCCACTGTGGGAGGAAGGACAGCCATCTCAGCGACCGTTCCGAGACGATGGGCTCTCTCGGCCCCTGTGGGTTATTCTGGGAGAATAACTGTTGTGCCCAAAAGCTGACCAGAGGCTGAGACAGGAGAGCGCCAATGTGCATCTCCGCCTGCCTGCTGAGTCTGGCTTCTACCAGCTCGCTCGTGACTTGGTCAGGTGGCCCCTGCAGGGCCCCGAGCACACAGGAACTCTCCCTCTGATCCTTGCCAGGTCTGGGACACGCCCAGGCACCAGGACTTCTGCAGACCCCAGGGCAGAACCCACAGCCACACTGGGAAATCACAGCAGAGGTGGGGCGAGCTCGCAGGACCTCAGTGTGTCTCAGCGGACCTCAGTGTGTCTCAGCGGAAGCGGGAAGCAGCAGGGCGGGGCAGGGTGGGACCAGGCATCCCAAAAGCATGGTGCTGGGGCTTCATGTCACAGCTTGTGCTGAGACTGCGAGCTTGGGGTCAGGGGCTTCCCAGGCAAAAGGTTTCAAATCCTGAGCTGTTACTCATAACCAGCAAGAGGGTGTTTCCTGCCGGACAAAGGTATTCACGAAACCCAACAGCAGGGTGAAGCAGCTGGTTCCTTCCAGAGTTCAGGGTGCAAGGAAGAGCTGCCAGCCCCAGCCCTGCATTGCTCAGTGCTTGGCTCCTGTGTGGCGTGGGGTCAGGACAGATGACCCGTCCCCCGAGCACCGGCCACGCCCTGTGTCCCTCTGTGCCCTGTGCGGGTGGCTGTCCTACAACATGGACGTGCCCCACCTTGCCTCTTCCTTCCCGTGGGACCCCCTGTCATCAGGTGGCACAGGACTTGTGTGACGGCGGACACCAGCCAACGCAGACCAGGCAGCCCTCAGGGACAGGCACGCTGGGCGGCACCATGTGGGCAAACCTATTACTGTGGGTGGTTTTGTCTTAATGGTGGAGGTGAGAAAAGCAGTGTTCTCAAAGTACCCTAGGTGGGTCTGCTGCACAGCGCCAGGTCTTCCTGAGACCCCACTCGGGTGTTGTCCAGGGCCTCCCTCCAAGCCCCTCCACAGCGCTGGCCACCCCGTGCCACACACAGATCAGGGCTCCTGGGAGGGGCCCGGGGTCTTCTTGGCTCAAGAGTCAGGAAGGAGCTGGAACCAGCAGCGGTACCAGTGCGAGCGGGTTATAGAACCACTGCAGGCCCGTGCCCAGGAGGCTGCGGCTGGAGAGCAGCGCTCTGGAAGGCAGGGCCCCAGACCCTGAGCCTCGAAGTTATGGCTCTGACTTACCGACATGAGGTCAAGCTGGATGGTCCCGGTGTCCTCAGGGTCCAACTGCTTGAATATCTCTGTGGGGAAAAGGGGGCCACGCTGAGGGAGCTGAGGACTGCAGTCGCTTCCGCTCCAGCATGGCAGCCGCTGTCGCTAAGGCCACCAGTCCCTGCTCCTTCCCCAGTGGTGCGCGGGAGGCGTGGCGTCGGGGATGCTGGACAGTGGGCTCCGGTCAGGTGACCGTGTCCCAGGGAGAGGCAGCTGCTTCAGGGACAGGTCTCAGGGCTCCCCCAGAAGCACGTACTGAACAGCGTCTCCAGCCGAACCAGGCACCGAACGAAGTTGTCAAAGTCGATGACGAGCTCGTCGTCTGCAAACCGGGCGACGATGACTTGGTGCAGTTCACAAGGCAGCTTGAACCCTGCGGGCGGGCAAGTGAGCGTCCCTGCTGAGGATGGGTCACCCGCACCGCCCATGGCGGCCTCTGTCCTGGCTGCGCTCAAGTAAGGTTTCGTCTTGCAAAGCCAGTGCCTTCTGCCGTCCCCTCAGCTCCTCGGGTGCCCTGTGCTGGGCTCGGCTTTCCTGCCTGTCCCTCGGGTGCCCTGTGCTGGGCTCGGCTTTCCTGCCTGTCCCTTCCGCGGCCTGGCTGCCCCACTCCAGCCACGCCTCCTCGTCTGTTTAGCTGGGAATCTCCACGGAGCCGGTGTCTCCCACTGGAAGTGACTGCTGCGCACTTCCTCTTTGCCCGGTGGGCGGGGTGTGAGCCGGCCCCGCTTCCGGCAGCCTCCCGAGGTCAGGCCCGAGGGCTGGCAGTGGCTGTGTGGGTGGGTGTGGTGGCCATGCCCCTCACGGGAAGGAGCCCTCTGCCAGCCTGCTGGCAGCGGTGGCTGTAGCAAAGCGGTCCCAGGAGCCTGCCCCCAGGGAAGTGAGCAAGGCTGGTGGCCCTCGGGGCGGGAGGCACGACCCACTCTGGACTGCCCGAGATGAAGGACGCCCCTGAGGAGCCGCCGATCCTCGGGTCTCTGCTGCAGCACCGTGTGCCAGCTAACAGCAAGCGGCAGTGTTCTACCGTCCCGAGCACACCAGTCTCCCTGCACTGGGCGCCGAAGCCGTCCCCACAGCCAGATGTGCCCTGGCTCCCGGAAGGGCTGGGCCGGGAGGTTCTGTTCCCGCCTGGCCAGCTCCACGTGGAAAGGGATGTGGGGGCATCTGCTGCGGCCAGCTCTGCTGCCCACCCCGCTAGGCTGGGACACTGATGCCAGGATGCACGGAGACAGGACGTCACTGCCTCGTGAGGCTACCAGGAGAGGCGACGGGCCGCGTGCATCTGTCTTGGACCAGCACCCGCCAGGCAGAGCCGGTGTGCAGCACGGAAGCAGGGCACAGGATGGTAGGGGCATTACCTGCTTCCTCCAGCGCCCTGCGCATCTCGTAGGAGTTCATGGTGCCAGACCTGTCTATGTCGATCTCCCGGTAAATTTTCTGGAATATGGAAGACGGTTGGAAAACTCAAGACCTGAAGCAAAACAGGCTGAGGCTCCAGCAGGGGTGGGTCCCTGCGGTGCCCTCACTTGGCCCTGCTGTGTCGCCTGCCTCCCGTCCCCGCTGGCATCTGCCCTCTCTGTGAGCCGTTTCTCAGAGTGGCTGCGCGTGGGCTGTGCCTACCACAGGCCCATTAAGGGCCTCGTGTGGTGTTGGTGCTCAAGCTGCCACAAATCCAAAGGCCAAGGGGCCACAGGGCCTCTTCAGGAAGCCTTTGAAGGTGGCTCTTGGTGATGCCCTTCACCAAGTGCGTGCAGAGTGGACCCTCACGTGCAGAGGTCAGCGGTCTGTCCATCCGTCTTCACATCTCTGTTTCCTCAAGTGCCCTGGTGAAGTCCTGGTCTCCGAGGAGATGCCCCCCCACCAAGTCAACTGCGTCTAAAGAACCCCTCCGCAATTCCCAACACAGCCGCCCCGCGCGGTCCTACTTGGTACTTCTGGATCTTCGTCCACAGAATGTAGAACTCCTTCAGCCCCAGCTTGCCGCTCCCGTCCGACTGGCTCCGTCAAGGAAAGCTCACGTGGGCACAGCGTCACCTGCCCTGTCCCGTGTCGTCTGCCCGAGGGCTCTCAGAAGGACGCCCCTGCCGCCTACCTCCCAGACTGCACCTCCCGCCTGCGGGAACCCGCCGTGCACTGGGGCAGCTGGGTGCTGTGCTATGTGGCAGCATCCGAGAGGAGTCACCCGAGGGTGCCCACCAGGGAGACAGATGCAAGCAGCAAGCAGCGAAGACTGTCACGCTGCTCCTCCCCGAGCCACAAGACAAGCGACCGTGGCTCACCAGCTCACAGGAGGTGGCAGCCAAGGAAGGGGCCAGAGCAGAGCAAAAGGGCTGGCCAGGGAGGTGGAAAACGGATCACATCAGAGATTTCTTTTCCCAGGCACGGGGGATGAGCCCTGGGCCTTCACACTGAGCTCGGTCAGCAGATCTTTTACTTTTTTTGAGACAGGATCATGATAAGTTGCTAAATTGCCCAGGGTGGTCTTGAACTTGCCTCAAGTTCTCCTGCCTCAGCCTCCCAGAGAGCTGGGGTTACAAGTGTGTACCACCATGCCCAGCTCACATCAGAGATCTTATGGTTTAGGAGTATTTTCTAAAATGACCTTGGGAAACAACCTAGGGCTGCTCTGGGCAGGGGATGGCGGGCATGCCGCACCACGGTCTGGGCTGGGGACAGCCCTCAGCCTGTGGCGAGCCTGCGTGCCTGGCCGTCCTGAGGAAACCATGTCTGGTGCTCCGGGTGGGGTTTGCACCCAGCCACCCCGCTGGAGTGCAAGGAGGATACGTCCAGCATGTCCACCATGATCTTGCAGGTCTCGATGCTGAAGCCGTCTGACTTGATGTCTTGTCCTGAAAGACAGAGGGACAGGAGTCATCCAGAGGGGCACCACACAGCGACCTCTGCGGGAGCAGTGTCCCTGCTCCATGCCACGCAAACAGCCACGGGTGTGGGGGCCACCTCCCTGTTCCCACGAAGAAGATGCCCCACATTTGCCTGACTTTTCTGTATCTGCTGTGGCCAGCAGGGTTTTAAAAAGTGCCTTTTGTTTGTTTATTTTTCTTCATTCATCTACTGGTGGAATCTCACTGTTGCCCCGTCCTGAGCTCAAGCAATCTTTCTGCCTCTGCCTCCCAAGTAGCTGGGATTACAAGTGTGCGCCGCAGTGCGTGACTCCACTGTGTTTCAAATAAGTGAAGAAGGGTACATGACTGGACCCCAAGTGCCCCCAGGGTGGAGAGCAGCCTGTGCCTGCTGGGGGGCAGAGAGAAATCACAGGGGGTGTCATGTGTCGCAGGCTGAGACCAGTGAGGGGTGTCAGCTGCCATCTGTGGGCGTGGCCCCTCTGACCAAGGGACGGGGATGGGAAGCTGCCCCGAGCCACCGTGCTCTCCTGGGTGGCTTAGGCTCGTGTCACTAGTGTGAGCCCTGGCTCCCAGTGCTCATCTGCTCCCCAGCATGTCCAAGGGCCTGTCCTGGAGTTGTGTCCCTGTCCTGTTCCCGAACTGCTGCTACCTGGCCACCCACGCCTGGGCATGGGCAGAGACCTGGGCTCACAGGGAAACGTCCCTGGGAGCGCGAAGCCGAGGGGGCCTGACTCTTCCTGCCCTCCATCCATGTAGGGCAAGAGGCCTCGGTCTCCACTGCCCATGGCAGCTGCACTTATGACCTCTTGTGTCTGGCGGCCTTGAGGGTAATCAGTGTCTTCTCTTTTTTTTTTTTTTTTTTGAGACAGGGTCTCGCTATGCAGTTCAGGCTGGCGTTTTGCTCACTTTGTAGCCCAGGCTGGTTTCAAACTCACAACAATCCTGCCTCAGCCTCCTGAGTGCTGGGATTACAGGCGTATACCACCACGCCCGGCAACAGTGCCTTCTTGTCCTCCCACCAGACGGGGCCTCAGCAGGTCCACCCAGGGCACAGGCCCTGCTGCTGACTCCGCCTTGCAGGGTGTGTGCTTAACCGGTGGGCTGGGGGAGGCAGCCTCAGAGGCCCTGGGGCTTCCCAAGCTGTGCCAGGGCGGAGTTCCAAGCGCTGACAGTCTGACCCAGATTCCAACTCCTGACACGCTGGAGCCCTGCTCCGGATCTGAGGGAAGGCGTATTTCTCCCCGCTGCACAGCGCTGGACCACAACAGCCAGCCCCAGGGAATTCTGCTCAGGAGACGGTGACAGCTGGAGGGGTCTGCGGGCACTGCGGCCGCATCTGTCTCTGTCCCAGCGTAACCGCTCTGTGGCCGGGGCTCAGGGCCACAGCCACAAAAGTCACTGGGCGGGGCCTGCAGCCGAGGCTCCGTGAGAACAAGGCAGCGGCTTCCTGCCCGTCCTGGGACCCATATTTATTTCTCCTTTGTGCCAATCAATGTGGATTCCCCACTAAGTGCTGCCAGAGAGCTCAGAAGCCCAGCGAGCTTCCTGACTCCGGGATTTAGGGTCCCTACGTGTCACCTCCAAGACGCTGGGCCACTGTAAGATGAGGAGCCAGAGTCAGACGGGCCGCGGGTGTGGCCAGGTCCCAGGCTGGCTGGCGGAAGACACCCAGCTTTGCCCTCTGGGCCCAAGAAACCACTGTTCCTGGTCACTGCTGCACTCAGACCTCCCCAGAGGCAGCCCTGGAGACAGAGGTGGGAGCGCCCCCAGGGGAGGTGGCCGTGTCCCGTGCCCACGGGGCGGGGGGCACTCACGCTTTGCCAGCACCCTCCTCAGGATGGTCTGCAACTCAAAGGCCGAGATCTCTGCGTCCTGTTGAAGGGGACAGAATGGGGTTACTCTCTGGCGGGGCTGGGGTGTGCACCCGTGTGGCACCTGGCACTGTGTCTCCTGCCCAGCGATGCTAGCACCGCTGTCCCCAGCCCTCAGGAGCCACTCCGCCCAGCCCACCCCGCCCAGAGCTTGGCAACTGCTTCTGTGCCATGCTCGGCCTTTCTTCACCCAGTGTCCAGTCCTCCTCTCCGCCTTAGCACCAGGCTCTGCCACTCAGCAGTGCTGGCTACACCAGCCATCTGGCTCCAAGACCTGCGCTGAGGCTGAGGTGGACTCGTGTGACAGCCCCAGGGTGGAAGCCAGGGACCTGCAGCGTTCTGCCTTCCTGGGCCCAGGCCCGCATGTGACGTGGTCAGTGGGAGACAGGCGCCTCCAGGGACACAAGAGGAAGGAGGGTAGGGCACGGGGCCGGGGCCTGGTGGCACTTGGGGAGGCTTTGCCTGGTAGAGGGGCCCGGAGGGGTGTAGTGGTCGCCGAGAGTGCTAAGCCCCTCACACAACAGAGGTGGGTGACCAGGAAGGAAGAGGGCCACACCCTGGGAGTGCACAGGAAGCCTGGTGCTCTTGTGTGGCTGCCAGGAGCCCCCCCAGGCCCCCCAAATACCAAGGGTGAGGCCTGGATTCATGCCACCTTTGGCATGGAACAGGGAAAGTAAAGCAAACCTCATGAGAGACCCTGCACCCCAAGGCAAGAGGACTCCAAGCCAGAGCCAGCACCCACCTCCCCTGCCAGCTGAGCAAACAGCCTCCGGAAGCTATCATCGATGTCCTCCTCGCTGATGTCTGTCTGCAAGTGAGGGCGGAGATGGTGGCGCTGCGGGAGGGCGCAGGGTGCCCCCAGATACCTCCTGCCCCTCTCCTCGCTCCCATTCTAAGGGACTGGGGTCGCCGTAAAGGACGGGTGAGGAAGTCCCGAGAGGGCTCTGAACCCTGGAAGGAGTTTCGCTGTGACCCACTCTTGGGCGCCCCCAACATCCGGCTGGAGGGGCCTTTCACGCTCTGCTCTGCCTGGGCCTCAGATCAGGCCGGGCTGGCAATGCTGTGAGCGGTGAGCACCGTTTCTGATGCCTCTGCGTGCAGGTGACAGGCACCACCTTCCATGGACAGGGACTGGGGACCCCAGGACCCCAAAGAATCTCGTCATCCTGCATGTCCACGTTGTGGACGTGGCAGGGCCTGGCCGCGCGGTGTGGCACTGTGGTCCCCTCCACCCCATGGGTGGCCTCGGCCGCCCTGAGCTCTGGGGCCTGCAGAGGAGGTAGAGAGCAAGCACCTCGTCCAGGTTGGCCTCGATTTCGTCGTCCACCGCTCTGGAAATGGGAGAAAGCTCTGTTACTGTGGAAGGCAGCGAAGGCCTGGCTAGGATGGCGTGCAGCCCGGGCCCCAGGCGTGCCCAGAACCCCGGACTCGGCCCTCTTGTGCCTGAGTCCCGGCTCTGCCCATGCGAGGCTGCTTGCGGTGCCCCTGGGGACACTGCCATCTACGGAGGCTCACATGGCCTCCTCACCCTACTGCAGCCCGGCGAGGCCAGGAGTGTCACCCGCCACAGGGCCATGGCCCCCACATCTCATGCACTCCTCAGGAAGTCCTTACGCTTGGGGGTCCCTGTCCAGCTCTGACCTGGGATCCCACCCAGGGAGGACAGGGATGGGACGGGGTCACTGTCCAGGACAGCGAAGCATAGTGTTGCGGAGTCGCCTTGCGGGGAGCCGAGGGTCTGGGCCCTCTGGCGGACAGTGGCTGGTGGGGGGACAGGGCCGTCACCTTGGTACTGGTCACATCCTGTGTCCTTGTCAGCAGGACTGAGCCAGGAGCAGGAGCTGCCCCACCCCCGCGGCAGGCTCAGCCCAGGTGGCGGGAGATGCCAGGGCATCCACTGTCAGCACCGAGGCTGCTCCTTCCCGCCTCTGCTGTGCGCCCTCCTCCCTCACAGGCCAGCCCGGCCCACTGGCATCTGGGGACCACGGATCCATGGCCTGAACTGGGGGGACCCCGCACCCCAGCCCCTGGCCGTGTCCTGTCCCAGGCGCCCCCAGCCCTGGAGCGCCGGGCCCTTGAGCAGGTTCCCCTTTGCTTCAGTGGCCCGGGTGGGCTCTGTCCCTGCAGTCAGCCACCCGCTGAATAAATGCTGTCGGGTCAATGCCCAGCACGCACATGCCACTGAGGACTGAGGTCGCACGGACAACGGCCCCGGGACCCAAGAGCCGGGGCGTCGGAGACCCCAGGCTGTGGTGGGGCAGCTCTGGAGTTGAGGCCACCACGACGCGCGATGCCAGCGTGGCCAGCCCCCTTCACAGGAGGGCGCCAGTCAGGGCTGGCCCAGTCCAGGTCCAGTGAGGGGACCGCGGGATAACTCAGACGCACGGCTGAGACTGGAGTCTGCGTCTCTGTGGCTGCCCTGTCCAGCGCCAGCCATCGGGGTGGCTTGCGTGCTTCCCAGAGAGCCCCGAAACTCCTCCACACCCCACCCTGCTTGCACGGAGGAGACACTGGCCTACAGGGGCAGGACAGATGGTGGCGGGACAGAGGGGCCGCACCACTTACTGGTAGTCGGCCTTCTTCTCCGAGAAGACGCGGACGCAGAAGTCGCCGTCCTTGTGGGGCTCAAAGGTGGACGGCACGAGGATGTACTCGCCTGGGGGCAGCCGGAAGCGGTTGAGCACCTCGCGCAGGTTGATGAAGGTGTCCGAGCGCTCGCGGGCGCGGGTCGTCAGGAAGAAGTTCTTCCCCAGGTGGATGTTGGTCTGCCCGGACAGCTGGGGGGCGAGCAGAGAAAAAGCTGGGGTGAAGCCTCACAGGAACGTGCCTGGGGCCGGTGGACAAGAGCATGCTCCAAGGATGACAGTCGCAAGGGCTGCTATGAAGAGGCTCGGCTCGACCACTGTCCACTGCAGCTGCAAGGCCTGCCCTCCCTGTGGGGCCCTGGCCTTCCTGTAGGCGGGGACAGTCCTGGGTAGGGCTGGAGACGCGCTAAGGGAGCAAAGCCAAGATGCGGGCAGGAAGGGCCCAGGGGCCCATCCAGGGGAGCCATGGCCCTGCCTTCCTTCGAGGAAGCAGCGGAAGGAGGCCGGGCACCTTGAGTGCCTACTCTGGAAGCAGCACAGCTGCCGGCACCCACCTGAGGCTGTTAACCCTAACTGCAGCTCCTTTGGCCTGGTACGACCTGACTCATGCCCACTGCTGCGGGTGGCAGATGGAGAGGTCACACGGCCTGGGAGCCAATGCCAGCCTCTGCCACACACGGGGTCTGTGACAAGCCTCTGTGCAGCAGAGGCTAAGCCCTGCCTGGCCCCATGTTCGGGGGTGAGAGCCCCTCGAGGCCTCCCCTATACCTGGCCCTAAGCTGGAGTGGGGGCCCGGGCCCAGCAGCCTCAGCAGGCCCTGAGGTTTGGGGGAGACTCATCCCTTGGAGCCCTGGCCTTTGGGTCCCCAGTACTCCCTGAGCGCTGTAGTGTGAGCCTTGAAGCACAGGCAGCCCTGAGCCCCGGGGAGGCTGCAGCAAGCAGACGTACCTCCTCTGGAACCTGCAAAAGAAAGGGCAGGCGCTCAGGCCCGGGCAGCAGCGCCGGTCACTACCCTCCGCGCTGGGCACCTCATCTCTGCAGCCCCCAAGGAGCAGGGCATATCCAGACTCCCCGCTGGGCTATGGGTGGCCAGGCCCACTTCCAGGGGACAGGGTGAAAGGCCGCCTATGGCCACCAGCATGCTGGAGACTGGCGCGGGTGGCAGGAGCCCCGCTCAGCAGTATCTGCCATTTCCCACAGGGTCACGACCCCACGCTGGCCTCAGCCAAGGGGACCTCCCCGAGCACAGGCAGTGGCTTGCGGGGCCTGCAGGAGCCGTCTTCTCAGTTGCCCTGAGGCCTGGCTTCTCTGCTCCCCTCAGTGACACAGCCTAAGCCTCGAGCACCACCGGGCCGACTTGGGCCAGCTCCCTGTCCCTGCCCAGGGGCCTGAGCCGCAGCGGCCCGTGGGGCTCTGCCCTGGCGCAGATGAGAGGCCGGGCTGTTAAGACAGGCTGTCTGCAGGGAGCGGGCTGCAGCCAGCAGGCCCTGGGGACAGTGTCCCTCTGATCTGCTCTGAGCACTGCCCTGGGCCAGCAACGACCCTCTGGGCTCTGACCCCTGGGCCTGTGGCTCCACCCAACCCCCACGGGCTCTCTGTGGGACCAGGGCTTCGCTCTGGTCAGTCACCTCGGGGTTTGGAACTTGTGCTGACTGCAATGGGGGTCGTGGGAGAGGGTGGGGAGCCACTCCAGAGAAGAACTTGGGCGCCCCCTGGGGGTTCAGGAAGGGGCTGGGAGCCTAGGACGCAGGTCAGCAGCAGGGACTCCGTGCGACCCACAGGGACCCCTTGGCTTTGCTCTGCACGCCTGAGCTCCTGGCCTCGGCCCCTCCCCATCTCCCAGGAGCAGGGGCAGGCGGCACCCTGCGCAGCCGCTGCCCACCTCGTAGATGCCGAAGCCGATGGTGTGCATGTCTTGGCCCATCTTCCTCTGCCGCCGCCGATGCTTCTGGATGAGGCCCACCAGGAAGGTGCAGCCGCCCTCGCCGTCCTCCTGGTCCTCATCCTCCTCCTCCAGCTTGATCAGGTACTGGGGGTTCATCCAGAAGGTGTCTGCAAGGGCAGAGAGGGCTCCTTGAGCAGCAGGAAGCGAGGGAGGGCGGCAGCAGGCACTGGCACCAGGAGGGCAGGGACCCGCAGCGGAAGGTCCTGTGGCTGCTCGGCCTGGGATCTGGACCCACTCAAGCCGAGTTCGTGAGGCTGGGGCTCCTCCTAGTGGAGCTCCATGGGAAGTACTCAGAGACACAGGCCTCTGCGGCACCTCGGGATCCTCACTTGGTGGGTGTGTCCTTGAGCTGGCGGCAGGGCCAGCTGGTCCCAGGCCTCGCGCTCTGTGGGCCTGGTGCACCACCAGCTCCGCCCTAAACTGGTAACAGCACCAGTACTGACTGACTTATCACCCACGCACACCCGCGCACACGGTGACCCTCCCACGCCGGAGGCTGTGTGGCCTTGGCGTCACCAAGCCTCCTGGACCTCGGGCCCCACATTTTGAAGATGGAGGAGACGATGGATGGGTTTGCTGGGAAGGGGAGGGGGTGCCACATGCACAGAGCACTCAGGACGCCCCTGGGGCCTGGTGTGCGCCCCACAATCAGTGGTATCACAGGGGCTATGGGGATCAACAAAAGCTGGACCCAGGCCGGGTGTGCCTCCCACCCGGGTGCACAGAGGCTGTGGGCGGCTCCTGCTCATGGTGCCAGGGAGCCTGCAGGCCCTGTCTCGGCTCCGGCTGGATGAAGGAGCTCAGCATGAGGGGGCAGGTGAGCCCAGGGCTCCGACCTCCCAGCTGGTCTCAGAAGGCCGCACCTGCGGGCTGAGGGCTGAGGGCTCGGGAGAAGGGGTTCAGGAGCGGTGGGCTGGGGCTGGGGTTGGGTCAGGTCAGCTGGGCCTGGATTTGGGCTGGGCGGAGCTCACTAGGATAGTTCCTGCAGCCGCCCGCGGTGGAGCCGCGCCGCCAGCTCCCGTCCATCTTGGTCAGCTTCCACTTCTTGTAGGTGTCGCTGGTGAGCGTGTCGGGCGTCAGGTTGCAGATCTCCAGGCGAGAATAGTGCCGCAGGAAGTCGCCGAAGGACATCCTGGCAGGAGGGACCCACACCCAGCTCACCTGAAGCTCCGGCCCCAGCACAGGTCCCCCGCCCTGACTTCCCAGGCCAGGCCCAGCCTTGCCGAGGCCCAGCGGTGGACGGGGCCCGGAATTCGCAGCTCCCAGCTCCAGGGTGGTGCTGCCACGCTAGCTGGGTGGCTGGAGTGAGTCCCAGGGCCCCGGCCGACAGCGGGGGCAACAGAGGCCTGTGCTGAGCTGCAGGGGACCCCAGGCACTGCAGATACATGCTGAGGCTCCCGAGGCCTGTGGGAGAACACCCCACCTCCCGGGCACTTCCTGGGGGTCTGAACAGCACGGGGCCGGAGGAATCCTGCCGGGAGACGGCAGGTTCCGGAGGCGGAGGGTGGTTCTGTGCAGGACTTTGCAGTGAATTTAAGACAATGAAACCAGGACTCCACTTGCCCTTGCCATAATAAACTCACTCTTATTACCAATTTTCCACCACTGGGTGGGTCTGGCATGGTGGCATTTGCCTAAAAATCCAGCACTCTGGGAGGCTGAGACAGGAGGATCCCAAGTTGGAGCCCCACCTGGGCAATTAGTGACTCAGTGAGACTGTCTCAAAATAAGGGCTGGGGATGCAGCTCAGTACAAAGGCCCTGGGTTCAATCCCCTGTGCACACACGCACACAGATGCACAGAGAGAGAGAGACAGAGGGAGGAGGGAGGGAAGAAGAAAGAGGGGAGGCGGGGAGCAGTGTCGAGCCTGCCCCAGGCCCACGCGGCCTCCCGACCCCTGCCCGCCTTACCAGAACTCCCCATCCTCCATGCGCACGGTCAGCCTCTCCCTCACCTCTGGGTCCACCGTGTTCCAGTTTGGGCAGCTGGGGGCAGAGCAGAGGCGGAGGCCTTAGGAGCACACACGTGATGGCGACCTTCCCACCCCAAGAGCCGGGGCATGGCCACCGAGGACCCAGAGCCCCGACAGGTGGTGCCCAGCCGGCTTGAGCCACACGTACGAGGAGCAAAGCACTTCACAGAGCATGGTGCTGCCCAGGAGTGCAGTGAGGGTGGGCACATGCTGAGGACCCGGCAGAGGAGCCCAGGACACAACGCAGCTGTCACGGGGACCGAGCCAGCCCGGGCTCCTTGACGGGCCTCGGAAACCCACAGGAGCCTCTTCCCGATCTCTGCAGCAACCTGCGAGGGAGCCGGTGAGACCAGGTGGGCCTCAGGCTCCTGGCCGCCTGCTCAGGGTCACTGTGCTCAGAGTCACCGCCCAGCCCAGCCCTCAGCACCTCTGCCTGCAGCTCAGCAGGGTCTCCCAGGAGAAGGTCCACCTAGCTCAGCACTCAGCTCACTACCCAACAAAGCACCCAGCACAGAACCCAGCTCAGCATCCCCTCAGCACCCAGCTCACTTGTCGTTCCACCTCCCGGTCCACTCCACCTGTCCCCAGGGGTTTCGGACTCGAATCAGCTTCTGCAGGCTCCCCGAGCTTTCCACCTGAGGACGGGGGGAGACAGGGCCCCATGAAAGGGCATGCACGTAGCAGTGTGGGCCTGTGCACAACCCACGGGCAGAGGGCAAGTCTCCGGCAACAAAGCAGCCCCACAGCGGGCCTGGGCTCGGCTGCCCCCCCCACGCTGCATGGCGACAGCCACCTCCCCCGATGTCCAGCCAAGCCTGGCCACACTCCACACAGGGCAGCCCTCACGGAGGTCTGTTACCCACTTTCGGGACAGAACCACAGAAGCCTGCCCAGGCCAGGCCGCAGCGGGAGGCCGAGTTGCAGGTGGGCCCGGAGGATGCCCTGAGGCTGGGCAGGGGCACAGACTCCACACAGGTGCTGGGACCACAGTGCAGGGCCCTGCCACGGCCGCACCCACATGCACCCCACCCACACGGTACCTCCTCAGCCCCGGTGACAGAGTACGCGTGCCCCTTCACCAGCTTCTGGTAGGTGATGGCCTCCGAGTCTGCTGCGCTGGTGATCTGTGAAAGCGGCCGCGGTCAGCACCACCGGCCCCTCTTTCCCTGCGAGCCCGTCCCCCACAGCAGCGCCAGGGTTCACGAAGCGGCAGGCTAGGGAGGGCGCACCCCGCTGGGGAGGCTCACTCTGAGCCCGGGCCCAGCCCACAACTAGAGCCGCCTGCCCTGTCTGATGGAGACACAGTGTCCTCCGGGCGAGCTGAGCAGAGAGAGGCTGGGCGAAAGAAGCCTCCACCTCAGCTGGTCTGCAGGACTCAAGGGCCCCCCAAGGTCCACAGAGCTCTGGCGCCAATCCAGGGCTGCTTGTCTGTCCCTTGTGTCCCCAGGGGTGACGGCTCTCGGGTGGGGCACGGTCTTTGTCTGGAGGCTGTGGGCACACAGCCCTGGCCCCTGGAGCGGCCCGGCATGACCGCTGCAGGAAATGCCTTCCTCCAGTGCCTCCGAGAGCCTCCCAGGCTCAGCACGCGTGGACAGAGCCGGGAAGCTGTGGCCTGCGTGCCCTGCCAGTGGGAGGGGTCGGAGTACGGGGAGACGGCAGAGCTGGCGCTCCATTACCCCATCTCCTGCACCCCAGATGGTCAGGCTTTTGCCCGGTGACCCCTGGTTCTGGGTGAAGAGCCCGTGCTGGACCGGGCTGCACCCGTGGTCCCAGGGCCTGCTTGGGGCTCCCTGGTTGCTGGGCGGACTGCGCAGGGTGCCCCACTCACGTCGATGGAGCAGCCGAGCAGCGAGCCCTTCTCCAGTGCCTTCTGGATGATCCTGAACAGGTTGGGTGGTGGCTTCTGCAGCTCGTACCACTCCGCAATGCCCCCAGTGAAGTCCTCGAAGCCCTCGGTGGTGGCACCCCCCGACAGGGCTTCGTAGCAGCCGTTGATCCTGCGGGGGTGGAGGCTGCCACTGTAGTCCCTGCGCCCCTAGCACTCCCACACCCGTGGGCCCGTGTGTCTGTCACCGTGGGTCCTCTGCTCTCACGGTGGCAGGAGGGTGCCTGCCTCCTCCAGCGTCCCTGTAGCTGAGCCCTCAGGATTGTATGACTGGCTAGTCCCACGGGACTCCCCTGCATCCTCAGGGCAGGGCCACTCACCAGCTGCTTGGTCTTTAGGACCCCAAAGAGCCACTTGGCGAGGGACACAGTTGCCACTCACCAGAGCAGCATGCAGACAGCACCCCGCATGCACGACCTGGGCCTCAGGTCCAGGGTGGGCCCAGCAGGCCTCATATGGTTGGGCTCCTACGCAAAAGGCCCCTCAAGTAGCTCCTGGCCTTTGGAGTCCAGGGCACTGTGGACAGGGCCCAGGCATTGGGCACAGGCCTGGTCTTTGGGGATAGCCTGGCGCGGGCACTCACTTGGCGTAGGCCTTCTCCAGCAGCGCGCTCCAGAACTCCGTGCCCTCGGCCGAGTGCAGGAACAGCAGCTCCCCGTCCTTGGTGGGCAGCCTGTCGTCCACCACCACCTCCACCCACTCGCCGTACTGCCAGAACTGCGGGCGGACAGCAGGGGCAGGATCTAGGACCTGGGCTGGGTGGAGACCCTGCTCCCCACGGCAGCCATCCCCACGGAGCAGGCTAGGACAGAGGGCTCCCGCACCCCAAGTCTACACTCATCTCTGCAAAATATCACATCCTTTCCCAGCTCGAGAGGGACACAGCTCTTCAGTTTGACTCTCAAACACGACCTTTCCACTCGGCAGTCCCCTCCTGTCTGGCCTGCCCCACCGAGTGTCCTGGGAAGGCTGCGCGTTTCCTGGGGTCTTGGTACCTCCCCAGAGCACAGCCAGTCCTGAGCTGGCAAACTCCAGAAACGAAGAGCCAGGCCCCGGGTACCTGGAAGCGGAAGATGCCCGCGTAGTTCTCCTGGAAGCTCTGGTCCAGTGGCACCACACGCGCCAGGATCTCTTCATTCAAGGTGAGAGAGGCGATGGCGGCCAGCAGCCAGCAGTCACCTGTGAACACAGGCAGGCGCTGTCACAGGGTCGTATCCCAGGAGGGCGATAGCTGTGCCTGCCGCTGGGGCTACAGGGCTCAGGTGACCAGGAGCGGAGGGCGCGTTGTCTCAGGCTGCAGGGTGGGGAGAAACCTCATGATGGGAGGGGGGGGCTGACGAGGAGGAGGCCGCCCTGGGGACAGCCACAGTGCCAGGGTCACGGTGCTCAGCTCTGCCCGGAGCTGCACTGTCTGTGGTGTCAGGGACCCCACCAGGATTCTGCACACAGCTGAGGTCAGTGCCAGAGGAAGGGGTTCAGGAGGATGCTCGGAGCAGGGAGGAGACACCAGGGCAGCCGCACATCAGTGGGGTCCCTAGGAGGGCAAGGTCGCCAGGCGAGCAGGCGAGGCCAGGGGCAATGGCACGGCAGCCACCGGGCAGCCTGGTCCCTCTGGGTGCAGCCCCTGTGGACGGCAGATGTGGCGGGGGCAGCACATGGGTCATGCAGGTGGCCCGGCCTCAGCTCGCAGGCACCACGCTGTCTCTTGTGGGTACTGTGAGGGCGTCCACTGCATTCTAAGGGTGTGCTGGCTCCTAAACCTCGAAGCCTGACACTGAGGGGAACAGACTCAGGTGGGCTGGGCTCACGCTTGTTTATCTGCTGAGGCACAGGCTCCGAAGAGACGCATGAGGCTCTGAGTCCCGCGCTTCCTCCCTGCTGACCGCCTGCACTGCGCCCCGGAGCAGCCGGCCCTGTGCACACGGGGATGCCACTGTGCCAGTGGGGACGCCAGGGCGCACCGGTGCAGGGGTCGTACCCAACTGCAACCCACGTTTAGAGTAAGGAGAAAGAACCGGGTAGCTTCCTCTGAGTCCTGTTTCTTTTTCTTCTTTCTTCGTGGTACTGGGGATTGAACTCCTTCATCCCAGACCATGTTATAGTTCTGACTTTGAGGCAGGGTCTCACAAGCTGGTAAGCTGCCCAGGCTTGGCTCACATTGTGATCCTCGTGCCTCAGCCTCCCACAGGGCTGGACTGTAGGTGTGCGCCACCAGGCCGGGTCCCCGTGCAGCGTGATTCACCGCACAGCAGGCTGACGCCCGTGCACGGCAGCACGACATCACCGAGGGGCGCGCAGGCTGGAGCGGGCGCGCGTGGCACAGTTTGCAGCTGAAGCGTCAAGGCGGATGTTCTTGTCTCCACGTTCCCAGCAGGGAGTCGGGCTGGGTGGTGGGTGGGACAAAGTGTGGCGTCCACTCCGGGGACGTCTGCACTTCTGACGGGGGACACTGAGTGCCCGCCCTACTCCAGACTCTTGCTGCTCGGCCTCGCCTCGCCAGCTCGGTGTCTTCAGCCTGTCGGGGCGTCCTGTCCCCTGCCCCCCCTTTCTTCTTTCCCGTGAGCTCCTGAAGCTTCGGGCCGCAGCAGCTCACACTCGGCTGACGCTCCAGGGACGTGTGTGTGCTGGGCCAGCTTCCTACGTATTGTCGTGAGCTCACATCTCACCATCACGAACCGGCTGGGGTGGAGCTCCTGTCACCCCACCCACAGTGGAGGAGCGGGGCTCCGGGGCGGGCGGGGGGCTCACCCAGGGGCCCTGGCTGATGAGGCCTCTGTTGCGTGTTGAGAGCTCTCCGTCTCCCAGTCTGCTTTGCAAACACGTGCCAATCGCATCCACCCATTCAAGGGGCTCGGGGCCAGGGAGGGCCCAGCCTTGGCTCTGCCCACCCCGGAGGGCATCGCCCTCTGAGGTGACCCGGGAGGGGAGCCCCTCTCTTCTGGGCACCAGCTCCACCGGCTCCCGGCCAGGAAGTCCCTGAACTGCTGCCCAGGTCGACGCTGAAGCAGCGGCTCCTCGGGGAGAGGCTGATGACCGCGCTGACCCTGGAAGCGCCAGGGCTCCTCCGGCTTCAGGGCTCTGCCCGATGCCCCCTTTCCTGGATGCCACCGGCTGAGGCTCGAGTCGCATCCCCAGGCTCGCGCCTCCAGTCTGCAGGACGCTTGACTTCCAGTGACGGCGTCCTCATCCTGTGCTGTCCCTCGGGCTCTGCTCCACCGCAGGGGAGAGGCCCCTGCGCCAGGAAGGGCCGGGCCTGCCTTTGTCCTGGTGGCCGTCACCTTCTGTCCCGTCCCCCGTCGTTTCCAGCCGGAAGCCGGGCCGGGCCGCGCCTTCCCCTCACCTGTTGGCACCCAGGCTGTCGTGTTTCCCGTTTGCCCAGGAGCCGGCTCAGGGCTGAGGAGTGGGCGCTGCAGACCATGGAGGGGCGGGGTGGGCCCCCTTCTCTGAGCTCCAGAGCTGTGTCCCATGGGAGGGCAAAGTGCCTCCCAGGTGGCGCTGTGCCTGACCCACCCCAGGTCTAGACCCTCGAGAAAACGCTAGATGGTCAGGGAGCTCTGGGAGAGCGGAAGCCGTCGGTCACAGAGAGGCTTCCTGTAAGCGTCCAGGCCAGTGCCCTGTGCAGCTCCCAGAGGCCTTCGATCCTGAGTCCGCTCCCTGACCACTCTCAGGCGGGCGCCCAGGCCCTGGAAACGCTGGGCGGCTTAGTGAGGGGATGCTGTGGGGACCTTGCAGTCTTTCAGGGTTCCTGGGCATCGGCCCCGAAGGCAGGGTGCGCCTGTCTCCTCCAGGCTGTCACCCCTCCTCTGCCCGCTGGTCTCTCCTTTATTTTTTATTTTTCCGGTACCCGGAATTGAACTCAGGACCTTGTGCTTGCTAGGCAGGCGCTTGTGCCACTGAACTATATCCCCAGCCCCGGTCTCTCCTTTAGAGCCAGCTCTTTCTCTACAGGATGCAGTTGCTCTGCAGTCACCTCGGCCAGGGCTTGTGCTCCCCTGAGCGCTACGACTTCCTCTTTGATGCTCAGCAGCCTGGCCTTTGTCATCCTGCCCCGCTCCCTGGGCCTGAGCAGGGACGGGGTCATGGCTCTGTGCCTGGACACTGCTCTTCACAGAGGCTGCTGGGCACCCTCGTGAGGGGAGTAGCCGCTCCTTCACCAGTCAGCTCAGCCTGGGCCCACGTGGAAGGGCCCCCTGCCCTGCTCCCCCAGAGGAGCCCACCCTGGTGCCCACCACCTACAGGACAGGCCGCAGGCCCTTGCCCTCCTGCCTCAGACCACCAGGTCCTTCCGCCCTGGTGTCTTAGTGTCGCCCACACCGGACGCTAGCCATGGCTACAGATGCCCAGGGAACAAGGCCTGGGATTGAAACACAGCAGGCTTTTGGGAGCAAGATGGGTAAGGAGCAGCGCTGGGGACAGGAGCTCTCCCCTGAGAAGGTGGCCTTGAGCCACACCTGCCCCTCTGTGTCCCCCGGTCTACACGGAGATTTCCTGCCTCTGGTGGGGACCTGGGGTCCCTGCTGCGGAGTGTCTTGCTGCAGACTGGGCCTCCTGTGCCTTCCAAGGACTGGCCCTGCTGGTTGCCCCTGCACCAGGAGGCGTTGGCGTCCTGCTCCTCCCAGGGTCCTCAGAGCCAGGGCTCAGGTCCATCTCTGGTCCCTGCGGCTGCTGTGTCCTGGCTGGCCCTGGGACCTCCCTTCCTGCACACCTTCTTCCAGCCCTGCCTTGTCCCAGGCCCTGCTGTCTCTGTCACACACGGTGGGGAGGCTGCCACTGAGTGTGGAACAGGTAGGTGGTCCTTCTGGACCCAGGGCTGGCCAGCCCGGGCAGGGAGGGTCCCACGCCCCGTGTAGTCCCAGCCTAGGCGGACAGGGTCCATGTCCCATGTAGGTCCCAGCTTAGGTGGGGAGGGTCCATGTCCCGTGTAGGTCCCAGCCTAGGTGGGGAGGGTCCATGTCCTGTGTAGGTCCCAGCTTAGGCGGGGAGGGTCCCGTGTCAGTGGGGACCACGTGTCTACTCCCCAACCTTTGCTGGCATACTCTCCTTATAAGGCACAGGACACCCACACCATGCTGGGCCTTAGGGGACCCTACACAGACCTGCAGCTATTAGGGGACAGAGGGAGGCCGGCAGGGGTGAGGCAGGGTGTGCAGTCAGGGCCTGGGTAGGGGCTGCCCTGCTGCAGTGGTTGTGTGAACATGGTACACCTCTTCTCTCTGGGAGCCCTGTTTCTCAGTCATGGAAGCCGGTCATCCCAGGTCTCCAGGATCCAGTGAAAAACCTCAGCCCTGTCGGGCATCATCATCCCGAGAATGTGAGGGGGACACAGGGACGTGACTGGAGGGTGGGGGGGAGGGTGGGGCTGGTGACAGGGTCCACCTTATCGTCCTGAGCCTCTGGGAGTCCTCCAGAAGTCAGGGTCACAGAGGTGCAGACCGAGATCACAGCTGGCCTCTGCACTCCCCCCGGCACGGTCTTTGCCGGGACCATGAGCTCCCCGACCCCAACCCCCAGTGCTGGGCTCTCCGGAGGGTAAGGCCAGCAGGTGCCCCTGTTATGCCTTCTCCCATTGTGACACCAAGGTAAGGGACCTCTGGCAGCCCCCTCCTCCCTCCCCAGTCCACAGCAGTGGGCCTCAGTCTCTCTCTGTGCTTTGGCTGTGGGCACCCGGGAGACCAGGGCCGGCTTCGGCCCATGGTTGGTCAAGAGCCTCAAGGACGCCCTCCCGCCTGCCCGGCGGGCCCCGTGTCCACTCTCCACACCCTCGGAGTGTGCAGTGCAGGCGTGGGGTGCTGGTGTGGGTGCACTGGCTTCCCGGGTGAAAGGACTCCCTGTCCCCAGCCAGGCGTGGCCTCCAGCTGTCCTTGGCCATCACACGCCCACGAGGACCCTCCCCCAGGGACAGGCGCACCCAGCCCTGCTCATGAATGGTTCCTTTAAGTCCAGGCCCTGGGCTGAGATGGGAAACTCATCCAGGGCCACGGTAAATTTCCAGAGCCGCAGGGGCTGCTATGTCCTGGGTCAGGGCTGGAGTGATGTCAGGTTAGGCTGTGTGCTGGGGCCCTGCCGGTACCTTCGGCCACTGGAGGCTCCTCCAGGCTCCGGGGTCGGGCTGTTTCCCGTCCCTCTGCCCTCCCCTGTGACTCTTCCCTCACACTCAGGACAGCGAAGCAAGGAGCAGT